TGACCCTCCCCTTCTCATGCTGTCTCTCTCTCAGAAATTAAAAAAAAAAAAAAATTAAAAAAAAAAACAACAAAAAACAAAAGCCAAAAGGTGGAAGCCAAAGAAGTGACCATGGATGGATGGATAGCGGAATATGGGTGCTACGGTCTGAAAGTTTGTGTTCTGCAGCCCCCTCCTGCCATTTATATGCTGGAATGCTGATGCAGATGTGATGACATTAGGAGGTGGGGCCTCTGGGGCCATATAGATCATGAGGGTGGAAGCTTCAAGAATGGGATTAATGCTTTTATAAGAGGTCCCAGAGAGGTCTTGCCCCTTCTGCCATGTGAGGACACAGAGAAAAGTTTGCGGCCCAGAAGAGGCATGGTGTTACTCCGATCTTGGATTTCTAGCCTGCAGAACTGTAAGCAATGAATTCCTGTTATTTATAAGCCCCCCCCCCCCCACCGCCTCAGTCTGTGGTATTTTGTTATAGCAGCCCGAGCGACTAAGACAATAGTGTATATATATATATATATATATTCAATGGAATGTTATCCAGCCTTAAAAAGGAAGGGCATTCTGACACTCGCTACAACGTAGATGAAGCCTTGTGGACATGAGTGAAATAAGCCAGACACAAAAAGACAAGCACTGTATGCATCCACTTAGATGACGAACCTCGAGTAGGCAAATGCATGCAGACAGAAAGCAGCTGGTGGGCGCCAGGACTGGGGGGAGGGGGAAGTGGGGGTGCTTGATGGGTAGGGAGTTTCCATTGGAGATGATGTTGTGGAGATGGACTGTGGTGCTGATTTGCCCAACAGTGTGACTGTATATAAGGCCACCGGACTGGACACTTCAAAAACGGTTAAAACAGCTAAAATGGTAAATGGTTATGAAAAATGAGGAATCCTAGACCACTGGCCTGTGTGTCCTGTACATGAAGCTGCTCTCAGAGATATACAAGGGTCAGAATATCACAAGATACAGACCATCATTGAAAGTGGCCTTTCCCCTCACCTTCCAGAAGGGACCTCTCCGCCCAAAAGATGGCTCTCCGGTATCCCTCCTTGGCTCAGTAGCCAGAGGGATTTAGGGATCCCTAGGTATATATTTCATTTTCAAATCCATGTTTCATATATATGTATATGTATCACACAAAAGGAGCAGCCTAGAGGCTGTAAAACTGCAAGGGAGGGGCTCCCAACCCAATGGGAGGGGGTCAGGGAGAACTGCCTGGAGGAAGCACCATCTGAGTTGGGTTTTTAGGGATGAGGAGGAGTCAGCCAGGCCAAGGCCAAACTGGAAGAAGGTTTCTGACAGGAGATACAGTCTGTGCTTACCTGGAGTGAACTGGTAATGGTGCTTGGTGATGACGGAGTCCGTAAGGAGGATGGGCAGGCTGGGCGTGGCTCATGCCAGTCCATGTGGGATTAAGTAAGCACTCTTCCCAGCGGGTACTTGGAGCAGTGAAGGGGCATTTGGGGGATAGACAATTGGCAGAGAGCCTCAGCGCGGCTCCGGGCATCAGCTACATGGACAATGCCCAGAAGACAGGCTTGCCCACGCTAGTCGAGTGCGCAGGACCCTTTCCTGTGCCTGCCTGTCATCTGGGGACCCCTGCTGTGGTCTTATGGGTGATCTCTATTCAGTTCCTATCACAGCGACCCTGAAGGGTGGACCCATCTCTGAAAGAAATAGGGCACGAAATTACAACGACCCCTGGGCACGACTCTGTTTTGACGAGTTGTGACGGTGAACGTCTCCTTACGGTTAACCACTTGCAATTTCTACCTTTGGGGACCCTGGAAAACAGCTCCCGAGGGCAGGCGTGGGCTGTCTTGCTCACACAGCATGTGGCACATAGTACATGCTCAATGAATAGTTGATGAAGATGCTTGGCACAGACAGAACTGGGCACTGTGAGGCTGCAGATCCTCTACCAGCCACACGACTGGCCACCTCACCTCGACATAGCTGTGTTGTTCTCAACATACTCTCAGCTGCAGAGCTGGGGATGTGATTTAAAGGTTAAAAACAACAGCCTTGTGAAATGCAACCTCCCCTCCCCAGACAAGTATACTGATGTCTGGGTAAATATCTGATGTCTCTAAAATGTGTCCAAATAAGAAAATGGATTGACAGATTGAGAGAGGGGCAGGTAGACGGACCAACCAGTACAAGCACAGGAAAATGACAATGCAAGCAGCCAGCCCCGAATGACTGGGTGTCTGCCGCAGGGAAGTCAGCCTGTTGATGTTTGGAAATTTTTTTTTCATCATCATGCGTCAGGGGTAAATGACCTTGGGCTATAAGGCCAAGTGACTTGGATTTGGAGAATTAGGTGAGAAAGGCAAAGCAAGAGGCAGAAGTTGAGATGGCCCAGGCAGGGGGTGCCACGTTGGGCAGCACCCCACATGCGTGATGTGGATAAGCTGTACGTACAAGGACACCGGGTTCATTCACGTGGCTGGGGGGGGGGGGGTGCTCCAGAGCCTGCTTAACCGACTGAGCCACCCAGACGACCCCTAGAGCCTGCTGATCCAGGGAGGGAGGGACTTCAGTGAATGGGGAGGGCAGCTTGGCCTTGAGGACCCAGGTTCTAGAAGGGAATCCAAATGTTGATGTTGGTCAGATTAGCCGGAGGGGGAGTTCGGAGGGGGTGGGCTGGTCTAGATGGTGTCCTCATGTGCTGGAATATGACCTTTGCAGAGGTTCAGGATCTATGGGACAGCAAAAAGCCTAGGAAGATCGGGTCTGGGTAAGTCTGGGTGCCGGGTCCCCACTCTCACCAGCTGTGTGAGCTCTGGCAAGCCTCTTCTTTCTGAGCTGGAGTTTTCTAGTCTATAAAAGTGAGGACAGAGTGTAGCATGCACCTCAGAGGCTCTTGAGGGCCACATCCGGTTTGGACCCAAGCTACCCGCCGAGGCCTCTGTCCACACTCGGTGGCACGATCCCTCCCCTCTTCCCCGGAGGTGGCTGCCCTAAACTCCAGAGAGGAGAAAAGTCAGCCTCATCAGGGAAAGTACTATCAGCTGATTGCCAATGTGCTAGGTCACCCCCCTCTCCCCCATCAGATGGCAGACAGCAGCACCTGCCCATTTTTGAAATCAAGCTTGAAAAGACAAAGTCCGCTTGTGACTTCTGGGATACAAACTCCTATCAGAGCTTTGTCTTCCTCAGATGGGGGCTTGCTCAAGATCTCAGCCAATGTGGGAGGCTGGTGAGCTCCAGGGCAATCACCCAGAGAGGCAGCCCAGATAGTAAGTCAAGGCCAAAGTGCTTCCTTTAATGTTTATTTTTGAGAGGAGACAGAGCACAAACAGGGGAGGGAGAGAGAGAGAAGGACACAGACTCCGAAGTAGGTTCCAGGCTCTGAGCTGTCAGCACAGCCCAACGCAGGGCTTGAACTCACAAGCCATGAGACTGACCTGGGCCCAACTGACTGAGCCACCCAGGTGCCCCCAAAGTGCTTCCTTTAAAAAATACTTTATTCCACCCATCTCCTGGAGGGTCCCCCACCCACCGCACCTGGTGGGCAGCTAGTTATGGACTTGCCTTCCCTTCCAAAACCAAGGGGGCCTCCTGCACTCGGAAACATTCAGTTCCCGAGTCAGCACGGATTCCCATGCTCTGCCCAAATCGGCCTCAGGACGGGACAGCAGGTAATTCTCTTCCCCGTCCCCCCCTTCCCCCCCCCCCACCCCATGACACCTTTTTTGCCAGGTCCATCCCTGGCTGATGGCCAAACTGTATTTAAAATTTTTTTTTAAATGTTTTCTTATCCTTAAGAGACAGAGCACAAGCAGGGGAGGGGCAAGGAGGGAGAGAGAGACACAGAATCGGAAGCAGGCTCAAGGCTCGGAACTGACAGCACAGAGCTCGACGTGGGGCTCAAACTCATGAGCCTCGAGATCATGACCCCAGCCGAAGCCGGATGCTCAGCGGACTGAGCCACCCACGTGCCCCCGAACTGTATTTTTTTTCAACTCAGGCATCCTGAAGCATCCCGGCTGGTGGGGGGCTTCCCTGAGCAGCCTCGCGGGCTCCAAAGTGGCCAGGCATGACATCTGGTGTCCTCAGACAAACTTCCCATCCCAGCATTGGGGGGTGGGGGGGTGGGGGGGTGGAGGGTGGCCATCTGCCCCCATTGCTGGCACCTAGGGATGGACGGATGGGGCAGGAGGAGAGCAAGCCTCCAGAGCCCGAGTGCTGGTGGGCAGGTCAAAGAGACCTCTCTGAGCAAATTGGTGTGGCTCTCATGGTCCAGTCCTCGCAAACAAAGAGCTCTGCCCCTTGGGGCAAGATCCCCCCACAGACGTCAAGGCACCAGGTGAGGGGTACCAGCAGAGGGGCCCTCCGAGGTGGGTGGTGGCAATCCCAGCAGTGACACTCATGGGTCAGCTGGGCTGTGAGTCTGGTGACCATCTGCCTTCTGCCTCTGCATTCCCAACCTGGCCATGAGGCTGCACACAGAGGGGAGGGGGCAGTCCTTGTCTCCTCCCAGGGAAGGGGCCGGGGGAGGGCTGGGAGCCACACAGAAGTTGTCTTCAAAGGTCCAGAAATGTGCGGCCAAACAGTTCTGCCCATGTGCTTTCCCTCTTTCAAAAATGGGATCTGTCAGCAAGGCTTAGCAGCGAAATATCTCCTGGCCATTCCCCAGGGGCCGTGTGGGGAATGGTACACCATTTTAGTCTTTAAAAAAAAATCATTCATGCCCTTTCCCAGGTGACTTGACAAGTTTCCCAAGAAGCATCATTACAAAAATCGGCCTGTCTTCTTTTTCTGCACTTCCTTCCTTGGCCTGTTCCTTCTGCCGAACTATATCCGATGCTTACGTCAGCAACTGGTCTCGGAGTAAAATAATAAAAGATTCCATGATCTGATATAAAACAAGCCCAGAAAAACATCCGGGTCCCGCATGCCAGGCACTGAAAATCTAGAGGAAACTGGGGAGTGTGGGGTTCAGTTTGATTCAGGGATGTGGCAGAAAAAAATTTCTTGAGACACCAGAAAAATTTCCCAGCGATGCACAGGAAGCTATTTCTGCGTGGAAGGGGCACTCCTGGGCTTTTTATTGAGACAGGAGTGAGTGGGAGGCCAGCAGCCCTGCAGAAACGCCCAGGGATTTCTGTTTTTTTTGTTTGTTTGTTCGTTTTTAAAAAGCAAACCCCCAAGGTCCTGATGAGGCCTGCGGTAGGCGGGTCAGCATGGTTTGCCCAGCCTGTGGTCCTGGAAGGGGCCGAGTGGGCGGGGTCAGGTGGAGGGTGTGCTGTCCATGGTGGACAGCAGGTGAATGACTTGGGCCCGCTGTGCCGGGCTGATGTGCTGGCTCATGTACACTATGCTGTCCATGGCCACGTCAGGGTTGTCTTGGACCAGGCTGCAGGGGGAAGGGAGAAAAGGGCGGGTCATTCCTGCCACTTAGGTCAGAGGGTCCTAGGGCAGTCCCTAAAAATCCCTGTGTGGGACCGTGTCATGTTCCTGGGCAGGTGATGACCCAGGGCTCCCAAATCTCTTTGTGCTGCGGTCACCGTGGGGGGGGGGGGGTCCCATGTGTCAGGAATGCCAGGGGTCAGAATACTTCGAAGGACAGTGGACCCTGTCAGTCACTAGCTGTGTGACTGGAGACCCGGTATTTCCCCTAAACTTCAGCTTCATTCCCCAAATGGGGACCCACATACCCGACTACCCACCTCGCAGGGGCCCTCTTGGAATGGGGAGAGCAAATCCTTTGGAAAGGCTGATAGAAAAAGGGAGCCAGTGGCCTCTGGCCTCGCAGTTAAGAATGTGGGTTCTCCCAGATGCACCCTAGCTGTGAACCTCAACACAGGAGGCTGAGCGGGGGAGGGGGGGCACAGCATACAATGCTGGCGTCAAGCTGCACCCCCTCCCCCCACTGGGTCAGGCGGCTGGAGCTAAATCCTGGCTCCCGCACTTCCCAAGGAGTCCAAGGGATAAGCGGGGGTAGGATTTACCGTCTGATGGACTTGAGGACCGAGTCTCGCTTCAAGCACTTGATGTTCTCACGGATGGTGGAACGCAGGCCGGCGCCCCCCTGCAAGTGCTGTTCCAGCCACTGTACCACTACCTGGTTGTTATCCCACAGGTAGGCCTGGGGGCGGGGGAGAGGCGGCCTCAGAGAGGGAGCCCGTGCCTAAGCAGGCTGGCCCTGCCCGGCCCTGCCCGCCCACCCGTCCTGTCTCCGGCGACCCACCTTCACGGGCCCCTCCGTCTCCACGAACCACCGGCGCAGCATGGACTGGATGTGCACGTGGCTCAGCTCACCGCTGGCCTGCAGCACCTCCTGCTTCACCTGGTCCTCCAGCAGGAGGCGGCGCAGCCGCCAGTACAGGAAGGTGCGCGAGGTCTTCCAATTCAAAATGTCCTGGGGACAAGCCCCAGGCTTTGAGCCCTCCGAAGGGGGTGGGGGGCGGGCCCTGCCCTCAGTGCAAGCTCTGTGATCATTCCCATTTTATAGGCCCGGCAGCTGAGGCTCTGGGGAGGTGGCGGGGCCAAGATTTTCACCGGGACTCTACGCTGGCTTACCAGACGCATGGAGGGTTTGCGCTGGCTGGGAGGGAGGGGTGGTGGGTGAGGGTCGGATATCTTCTTAGGGGCGGGGCGATGGGGTGGGGCTTGTGCCGGTCAGTGGAGGGTGGGTGCCGGGCAGGAACAATCCTCCCCAAATCCGGCCCCGAGGTTACAGACACACACAGAGGTCAGATTGGTGGTTCCCAAACCTTGCTGCCCGTTGAAATCTCTTGGATATTTGCAGCCGTACTGATACCGGGCTCCCACCCCCCAGATACTCTGATTTCACTGGTCCGGAGAGTCACCGGGGCACTGGGATTTTTATTTTTGTAGCTCCCCAGGTGTTTTTAACATGTAGCTTTTGGGCCCAGATCTCCTCCGGTTGGAGAGCAGGTGACCTTAGGACGGGGCCTTCACGCGGGGCCCCCGCAGCTGCAGGCTCTTACAGAGATGGTACCCTTCTCCAGCACGCAGAAGGCCGTGTCGTGGAGGTCGGCGAACTGCACCGCCACCTGGTGGTAGATGGGCACGAGCAGGTCCTCCCGGGCCTTCAGCTGGCCCTCCAGGTCCTTGCGGTCCTGGTCGGAGAGCTCCGACGCTCCTGTGGGCAAGAGCACAAACCGGGGTTTGCAGGACAGACCTGCGCTCTAATTCTGAAGGTACCCCCAAAGCAGGCTGCTCGCAGGGTCTCAGAAACGCGCTCACCATGGCCAGAGGCACTCAGCGTGCCACTGTAAATGTGCCCCCCCTCCACCCTTCTCGGGAAGAACCACTGTGCTCATGGGCTACGATCATTTACTACTTCTAACACATGTTGCAAAATATAATAAGGGGACATGATAGGCAACCCTGTGCCAATTTCACTCCTTAGATGAAACAAATTCTTTGAAATGTATAAACTGTGGCAGCTACGCCAAGAGGAAACAGATCACCTGCAGAGTCCTACATATAGTCAAGATGAATTTATAGCCAGAAACTTCCTATCAAAGATTTAAAGATATAAAGCCAATTCAAACTCAGAAAACGGGAGAGAACGCTCCCAATTCATTCTAAGGGATCAGCATTACTCGGACATCAAACCAAAGAAATTGTGCGCATATGCGCGCGCGCGCACACACAATCTTGTGAAGAGCACAGGTATAAAGACATCGCCACCCAATATGGACTTTTAAAGAGAATTACATCTAAGGTGACCAGGGGAACAAAGCTATCACTCAGACAAAATCGGTAGCATACTTTATGTCTGATGGAAAATTCTAAAGGGACATTTTGCTGCACAAATTCTCATCTTCCTCACTGGCCCCCAATACTTCCATTGTTGTATCTTGTGTGTGTGTTCAGAAGCAAATACACTAAGGCATTAAACATATATTTTAACGGCAAAGGGGCTGATTTTGCTATAGGAGCACATTTAAAACACGACTTTTGAGATGTTTCGGCACAGCTGTACTTGGTTTGTACCAGATGAGAATCCCGCAGAGGCAGAGCGGGCTGGGTCCCCCTGTCCTCAGAGACCTGAGGCACTTCCAACCCTCTCACCTAGTTGCTCCACGAGCTTCTTGTAAACTGGGTCGATCCTCCTCATGGTCTTTATCAGATCTTTCCTGCGGTATTTAATCTCTACTGTTCCCTCCGGCTCCAGAATGCTGGCCCTGAAAAAGGAAGAGGAAGGGGGTGGAAGATGTTCCCTAGCAAGCTACAGCCAGGAGACGTGGGGGTGGACACAGGGGAGCCAGGAAGTCGGGGTGTGAGTTCCTGGCTCTTTCACGACTCACTCTGTGACCTTGGGCAAGTCAGAGGGGACTCTGATCATCTGCTTCTATATCCATAAAATAGAGAGGGGCTGAGCCAACCTCTTAAAATCATATTTTTTGAACCCTGGAACGCCCTTCCGGCTCTGGGAGCACAGGACTCTTCTCCAGAACAGCACAGCCCTCCCGTTCTTCAGCTACAGTCCTTTCTGACTTTCCTAATCCTGCTCTCCTCAGGCCAGGGTGCTGTTTCTGATCTCCTCCAAGCCCACAAAGGAACAATGGAGAACTCATTGTGGTCCACTATGAGCTGGCTCTCTCACTCACCTCCACACTGCCCCCTTCATCCCCTTTTGATGGCTTGGGAGCCCTGAGGAATACTCTACGTAGCTCTGAGCTTCCTGGTGGCCAGAGTGAAAAGGTAACGACCCCACTTGAGGCTACTCATGTCTTGAGTCATCCTGGAGGGCTGACCTCAACAAGTCCCCCATGATGGTCTAGGTGCATTGAAGGAGGGACAGGTTTCACTCACGTGCACCATATCACAATGTCTACCATGATGCCTGGTACATAGTAGATACTCGATAAATACTCACTGAATGAATGAATGAATTACAGACATGGGAAGAGGATGACTATATTTGGGGCAAAACTACTCCTGAGGTCTTTACATCCTACACAGCACATAGCTTAGAGTCTTCCTCTTTTTTAAAAAAATTTTTTAAACATTTATTCAGTTTTGAGAGACAAAGTGTGAGTGGGGGGGAACAGAGAGAAAGAGGGAGACACAAAATCTGAAGCAGGCTCCATGCTCTGAGCTGTCAGCACAGAGCCCAACACAGGGCTCGAACTCACAGACCGCAAGATCATGAACTGAACTGAAGTGGGACACCTAACCGACAGGGCCACCCAGGTGCCCCAACTTAGAGTCTTCACTTTATTTATTTCAAAAAAAATTTTTAATGTTTTATTTATTTCTGAGAGACAGAGACAGTGTGAGCAAGGGAGGGTCTTAGAGAGAGGGAGACACAGAACCTGAAACAGGCTCCAGCCTCTAAGCTGGCTGTCAGCATAGAGCCTGATGTGGGGTTCGAACCCACGAACCATGAGATCATGACCTGAGCCGAAGTTGGACGCTTAACCGACTGAGCCACCCAGGCCCCCTAGAGCCTTCACTTTAAAGTTACTCAAACACCATGTGGTGAGTACTACTGTCATTATCCTTTCTGTAAACGTTCCTGGAATGAATGAATCCCTCCTTAACAAAGTTCAGAAAGCCAGGGTTTTCTTTCTCCTGAAGAACCAGAAACCTCTCATGCAAGTATTTACCAGTCAATTGGTCAGCCAGGATTTCCCAACCACCTGCTAGCAGTCAGGCATTGTGCGAAGCCCTGGGGTGTAAAACTGAATAAAGCACAGCCCCTCTAGGAACTCACAGCTTTGGCGGAGACTCAGAGCTCAGTGAGAACTAGATGACTGGCTCTATTTCCGTTTTTATCCTGGCTGCCAGGAAGCTCAGGTGCTTTTGGTCTCCCCTTAAGTTTTGAATGCAAACAGAACAGACAACAGTTCTGTCACCTCCTGCTCCAGCCATGAACTCTCCTGAGAAAATCCACCAGTGCACCGGCTGCTAGGTTTGGACTGGTAAAACTGGAGGCTCTCCATCCTTCAGAACCTCAGAATGCCCCGGCAATCCCTGGCCAGCGGCTCAAAGGTGATGGGGCTTCGGGACTGGGGGTGAGGCGAAACCAGGTCGAGGGTCACACACCCACCTGCTCTCCTTGTCTGCGTACATTTCTATGTACAGGGGGTTGATGGAAGAGTCCACGACCACCCAGGAGCCCCCCCGCAGCTCGGCATAGGGTGGGATATAGATGATGATGGGCTGTTTGTACTGCCTGAGGCTGTCCACGATGTAGGCTCCAAACTTTAGCACCTGGTCGTACATGTCTGAAAGCAAAGCAGTTGCCTGGTGAGGAGGCTTCAGGCCCCAGCACCTGTCCGCACGCCAAGCCTGCAGCCGTCGATGCCCTGGGAAGCCCGAGAAAGCATGTTCGGCTGGGATGCTTCATGGCACCATGGAAAGAACAGAAGTGCAGGCCCAGTGCAGACTGCGCCCTGACTGTCCGTGTGACCCTAGCCATGCCACTGCCCCCGCCCTGCACTGGTGCCTCCGCATCCCCGTCTGTAAAGTGTAAGGCAATCTCAAGGGTCCCTTCCTTCCAGCTCTGACAGGTGACTACCCCCCACCCTGTCCCTGTCCAGCAATGACACAGATCCTTCCCTCCCACCCATAGACAGTGTGGCCCTTGTTTTCCAAGATGAGGCTCTCCAAGCGCCAGGCGCCTTACGTGGTCAGGCTGCAATAATGAAACCAGCCATCATCATGCCAGGAGCTGACACCATGTACCATGATCAGCTCACAGCAAATCCTCACTTCGGACCTCTCGCAGGTTGGTCTTATCCTTAGCCCCTTCACGGCAGCAAAAGTTGCCAGGGTGGCCCACCTTGCCCTGCCTCTCACAGGGTGACCTCTGGCTAGTCACGCTGGGAGCCCTCAGTTCCTCATCTGTGAAATGGGTAGATGGTCCTGAACTGCTCCTGCCCCTGGGGGTGGGGGGTGGGGGGCCTGGAGCGCAGCTCGGCTACGATGATGATGCGACAACGCCACCTTGAGGGGGTTTCCCTGTCCTGGGTGCTGGCCCTGCAGCTTTGGGACACCCACAGGCGAGCTGGCTTTACCTTTCATGCCACCGGCGAATCCCCTCCAGTTGGCAAAGACCATCAGGGGCAACTTCTCTCGGTTGAAATCCTTTATGACCTGGGCCGTCTTGGAGGCGGAGTCTGCAAACCACACTTGGCCCGCCTGCTGGATTACCTAGAACACGGGGTGGCCTGGATCAGACTCCTCAGTGCAGGAGTGGCGGCAAGGGACGTGGGGACAGCCCTCTGAACCATACCCTCGGGGGCAGGCAATCTGATCTGTGTTGGCACCCACACCAGAGCCAGGGCTCACAGGGAGGGCCCAAAGTGTGTCTGCCAGGGGCCCTGCTTCCCCATCACACTGCAGCCCAGGGAGGTGCCTTCTGCCTCATTTACAGCCTCAAAGGCGTGCCAAGTCAGTCCAGGCCGTCCTGAGTCCTAGGACCCACCCTCTGACCCGTGAGCTCCTCCTGGTATGTGCCACAGCCCAGCTAGAGTCATGGACGGGGCCAGGAGCTGAGGGCAGGAGGGATTCCCAGGGACCTGTCACCCCCTGAAGAAGAAAGACAGTGTGGGACACTTATGCATCCCACAGAGATGGTGCTGGAGACATGAGCCTCTAGGGCCAGGGACTGCCCTGAGGCTCCACCCAGAAAGGCAGGTGAGTGACCACCCAGGATGCACTCGGGCTGCCTGAGCCAGCTGAACCCAAAGTCCCAAATCCCCAGCTCTCTGACCTTGGCCTCGGAATCCAGGTTGGCGGGGTCTGCAGGCACCACCACCTCCACGGTCCGCGTCTCCACAGCAATCACTCCAACAGGGATCCCCCCCAGCCTGTGAGGTGGAGAATGGGCCAGCCAGGAGTTGGGCAACGCGCCCTTGGATTCGGGAGTAGATGGGTCTGCCTGGCCCTGGCTGACATTCTCTGGGCATCCCAGGTACCTGGCACTAAAGGCTGGGATGTGGGCATGCATGCAGACGAGTGCACAGCTTGTACTCTGGCGGGTTTTTTTTTTTTTTTTAGTGTTTTTTATTTATTTCTGAGAGAGAGAGAGAGAGAGAGAGCATGAGCAGGGGAGGGGCAGAGAGAGGGAGACACAGAATCCGCAAGAGGCTCCAGGCTCTGAGCTGTCAGCACAGAGTCCGACGTGGGGCTCGAACCCATGAACTGCAAGATCGTGACCTGAGCCGAAGTTGGACGCTCAACTGACTGAGCCACCTAGGCACCCCTGGCGGGTTGTTTTACTGGAAGGCAAAGAAGCCGGCTCCCAAGCAGTTAAGAGCCTCCGCACCAGCCGGCGGGCTGGGAAGGCGGCCCTGGTGCCCTCCTTGGGGCAGCAGCCATTGTGGGGATGGGGAGGGTCAGGCCAGCGCAGGGCCCGGAGCAGCGCCATCCACTAGGACTTGCCGCGATGCTGTGTTCCATCCGTGCCACCCAGAATGGCAGCCGCGATGTGCAACCTCATGTGGGTGCTGAGCACTTGAAACGTGCCGGGTGCAGCAAGGTCACGGAACACACCTTCCTCCCTCCAGGCACCGAGGTGTGACCTGCCACACGGAGGCGGCGTGTGGGATGGGCAGGTCCAGGCACCGAGGCGCGCCTGGAAAGGGGTGGGGGCCGCGGAGCCTGAAGGAGCTTCTGCTCAGGGCATTCCGTGCTGTTGGCAACTGCCACCCGCTTGCTCCTGGCCAGCCCCGAGCCAGGCACAACCCCCGTCACTCTTGTTTATGAGGCAGGTGAAGGGATGGTCTTTAAATAAAGGAAGGGCTTCTGTGTAGAAGAGGGAGCAGGGTTTCGCAAAATGTTTTTAAATAAAACACTGACAGGGGTGCCTGGGTGGCTCTGTTGGTTGAGCGCCCAACTTCGGCTCAGGTCATGATCTCACGGTTCGTGGGTTCAAGCCCCGGGTCGGGCTCCGTGCTGACAGCTAGCTCAGAGCCTGGTGCCTTCTTCAGATTCTGTATCTCCCTCTCACTCTGCCCCTCCCCCACTAATGCTCTCTCTCTCAAAAATAAACAAACATTTAAAAACATGTAAAAAACATTTACAGAGAAGTGATGAGCTATTAGTACTAGGCTTAATATTTAGTATTTTAATATGTATTTATGCCCAGGAGAAAGATAATAGCACCGACATGGACAGGAATAGCCACTGAGGAGGACTTAGGATATTTTAAGTGCTTAACAAATGTCCTCACAGCAGTCCACTGGGGGCAGGATTATCATCCCCATCTTGCAGATGAGGAGGTAAAGTCCCAGAGAAAGTGGATGACAGAGCTGGGCTTGACCTCAGATCCAACTCCAGAGCCTGGACTCATAGCAACTACACGGTGCCAGGATCTGAATGCTAACTTATAGGGGTAATTGTGAGGTAAATGATAAGGGCTCCATGTTGGAGAGGAGCCCGCAGGTAACCGGAAAGGTCTAAAGAGAGGAGGGCTGCACCAGTGAAGAGTGAGCTGCTCAGCTCCGAAGGCATCCAAGCAATTAAGCCATCCCCTCGTGAAACAGAATTCATAGTTTTGAGCATCTGTGTAGTTTTCTGCTGGGATCGCCCGGAGCTGTCTTCTGATTCCCAAAGGGGTCCGTGGCCCCCGTGGCGAGGGAGCCCTGCCCCAGGGGCAGACTCTAGGGGCCAGAGTCCTGTCCCCTGCAGGCGGTTGGCTGAGATGGCCTTCTAAGGCCACAGAAAAATCTAGACTTTATGAAGAAGTTCATCATCCACAAAACTATCCCCCCAAATTGGTTTTCCTTTCAGAAAACCCTGAGGCCAAAAGGAAAGTGTTCTTGGGGGTCTCTCAGGGGGAAAGGACCCCTGGCTGGTGCCTGAGAGTCCCACGGCCTGGTGAGGCCAGGCGAGTGCAGGCTGCCCCATCCCCAGGGTTACCTGGCTCGTCCGGTCACCACCGTCTGGGCCCAAGGCGCCATGATTTCCTTGAAACTGCCACGGTCAAAGAATCCACTCTGCCAGGACCCCTTCCGAGCTGTGGGCAGGACAGAAGCCCAGGCCACGGGGCCGGGTTGATGACGGTCCCCCCGGGTCTGCCTGGGGGGGGAGGGCAGACAACCTGCCTGTGACAGCCCAGACCCCCGTTTCTCCAGAAAACCACAGAGACCCCAACCCTGTTAAAAGAAAACAAAGCAAAGCAAAACAAAACGCAGAAAACATGATTGCAGAAAACACTCCAAGTCAGCAGTTCAGCCCGTTTGTAACATCCAACCATCAAACACACAGAGATCCTGGTCCCAAGGGTCAGCGCAAGAGGCAAAGAGAGCTGAGGGGACCCGGGAACCTCATCCCAACGTGCCAGCGGTAGCTTCACTGGGGGGTGTCTTCAATTTCAGAGAGAGGGAAAGAGAGAGAAGGGGGGATGGGGAAGGGGAGGGAATATGATGACGTCCACTGCAGACATCCCTTCAGAGGAAGCATGGACACCATGGCGTCCGCGGCTGTGGTGGGGACAAGGAGAAAGGAGCCGGGTGACACGGGGGTCACAAGCTGTCAGTGAGGGAGGCAAAGCAGCCCAACTCCGGTGTCTGGTGTGTCCGAGGGCTGGCCTGACTGGATGGAGAAAAGGGTCAGAAATCAGTGGGATGTTTTTTAAACAAGATAAAGCCAGCCCCTCAGAGCTCACGGGCAAGAAAGCGCAAGAGAAACACACGGGGGGAGGGAAGGGTGGGGGGGGCAAGCAAGCCATGGGGCTTCCTGGGGCTTCCTGGGCGTGCTCCTGATGGCACCCCTCCTGCAGAGGGGCGGCATCTGAAATTCCAGACTCGGGGTTATGATAATTTCCGGGCGTGTTCTGCTTGCTTGGGATGTAATCAGACACCCGCCAGAGGCAAGCTTGCCCCTTTCAGAGAGAGGGAGTAGGAGAATGTGTGTGTGCAGGTGTGAGTGTGCACACCCACATGTGTACGAGAGAGTCATCCATCCTGGGTGAGCCCATGGAGGGCCGCCTTATTAAGGTTTAGCCAGATAAGGGGCGCCAGGGTGGCTCAGTTGGTTGAGCATCCAACTTCAGCGCGGATCGTGATCTTGCTGTTTGTGAGTTCGAGCCCTGCGTCAGGCTCTGTGCTGTCAGCTGTGAAGAGCCTGCTTCAGATTCTGTGTCTCCCCCTCTCTCTGCCCCTCCCCTGCTCGTGCTCTCTCTGTCTCTCTCAATAATAAATAAACGTTAAAAAAAAAAAAAAAAGGTTTAGCCAGATAGAAAGAGAGAGAGGGAGAGAGGGGTGTAGTCTGCATTTTCCACCTATGGAAGCACAGGGTGGCTAGGGGAGGGGGGCCGGGCCCCGCTTGCACTTTCCCACCATCTACCGGCCCGAGGACACGGAGGCTGCTTCCACCCCTTCCTCATTAGCGGCTTGGGAAGAGTATGGAGAAAATTCCCCCCAATCCTCCACTCCTGCCGCATCCGATCTCAGGTGGCCCCTCTGGGATCTGTGACCAAGGATGGATCAGTGCTTTTACTGGAGGGCCCCTTCACCCCTGCTTTTCAGAAAAGAAACCCAAGAGCCAGGTCCCGGGCAAAGCATAAGGACTTACTTGGGTGAGGTCGGCCTGCGAGCAGCCACCGGGGGTCGTAGGAAGCCCTGGATGGGTAGAATTCAATTTCTCTGTCAATGGGGTCCGTGGGTGTGATGATGGGGACTGGGCTGCGGTTATCCTAGAAAAGGAAACCACCTCAGTCTTCTGTGCCAGTCAAGAATGCCACCATCTACTCCTCTCCTCCGACCATGGTTATGCTCGCCCATGCAGCAGAGCCCAGCCCAAATCAGCCAGTCATCGCCAGTATGAGTAGCATTTGGTGAGGGCCTGCCCAGGTGCCCACTCTCAATATCACTGTACTGAATCACCAGGTAACTCCCTGGGGTCGGTGCTATTGTTATTCCCATTTCACAGATGAGGAAACTGAGGCTTGGGAAGATGCAGAATCTCTCCCAAGGTCTCACAGCTAGCAAGGAGGAGGCCAGCAATCAAATCCAGCCTGACTGCAAAGCTTCAGGATTCTCTATTGTTCAGTCTACCTCTTTTGATGAGACACAGTGCCACCCTGCTTTTTAAACTTTTTTAATGTTTACTTATTTTTGAGAGAGAGACAGAGTGCACGTGGGGGAGGGGCAGAGAGAGAGGGAAAGACAGAATCTGAAGCAGGCTCCAGGCTGTCAGCACAGAGCCCAATGTGGGGCTCGAACCCATGAATGGTGAGATCGTGACCTGAGCCTAAGTGGGACGCTTAACTGACTGAGCCACCCAAGCACCACAATGGCATTTGTTTTAAAGCAAAGAGCAGCCAGACAGAGCTGGGTCTGAGAGGGAAGGAGGGAGGAGTAAAGAAAACTTGAGCCCAGCCACAATGGTAGCACTTCCTGTCTTCCAAACTTTCACACCACCCAGCAAATGAACCTGATGACAGTCCTCCAGACTCTATGTTTTGGGGCAGGGTTGGGGTGGGGGAACCGGATACTGAACCTTTGGCATATAGGACAGCCACTCCAGGATAGTATACACGCCCTCGAAGTCATCTGGCACGGCGACGTGGGAGACGCCGTTGTAATGCATGATCTGCACGCCACCCAGCTGGTTGTTGGAGGTGTAGACCTCTCTGCCCAGGACCTGCTTTGACGTGGCGCGGTTAGCAACGGGCTGCCCACCTCAGGCCACTTCCACCTGCTTGGAAGTCCTCTCCCTCAGTGGTCGTCAACCCTGGCTGCCCCTGGCAGTTACTGGGGGCTTTCAAAAATCCCAAGGCCCAGGCTGCGTCCAGATCAAGTACGGCACAATCTCTGAGGTGAGATCGTGACCTGAGCCAAAGTCGGACGCTTAACTGAAGAGCCACCCAGATACCCGCACTTTAATAATTTTTTAAAAATTCAAGTGGTCGGGACACAAGAGAGTTTTACCACCAGAACCTAACACTTAAAAAAAAAAATTTTTTTTTTTTTTTTTTTTTTTGTCTCATAAAAGACCTAGGTGAGTACAGATTGGAAAACGAGCTCCTATATTACTAGAAAGGACTCTGTCTTCACACTAAGAAGAGCCCCCATTAGGGGCTGGTAGAAGTGTTAAAATGAGCCCTGGCCCCACATGCCCACCCGTCACAGACTCCTTCTCAGTCACCTTGTTGAGGGCGGTGGCTCCCGTCAGGATGATGTGCGAATTTTCCACCTGGATCACTCGCTGGCCCAGCCTCACCAAGTAGGCCCCGATCCCAAGGGCGCGGCAGGTCACCTGTGGGGACAGCAGCCCTTCTGAATTCCCAAGACAGGTGTGGCCCACTCCCCACAGCAGGGTGGGGCGGGGTGGGGAAGCCCAGGAACCCTCAGGGCACATGTGGAGGGCACAGTTTGGCCACTGGACGCCTGACTGGTGAGCAGATAGCACAGGCACAGGCCAGTTCTTCCGGCTCACCTAACCCTGGCTTCCAGAAAGAATGTGCTTAACAGAGAAGATTGCTGTGAGGACAGACAGCAGACACAGAATGTTCTGGTTGTTGCTTCATACAAGGCATAGCTTGTATGTAGTTCTTCTGAGCCATGGTGGCTTCTCACACAGCCAAAGGGCGTCTGAGAACACGTGCAAAACTGGTGATATATGACTACGGTCTACACCAAGGTAAGAGTGTTGCCAATGTCAATGTCCTGGGTTCGATAATGTATTATGTAGGGTACTGCCTTGGGGAAGCTGGGTGAGGGGGACAGGCGCCCTCTCTATACTGTCTTGTAACTTCTGGTGAGTCAGTCGTAACTATTTCAAAATTATACACACACACACACACGTATATATATGGCATCATATATAATTATATACATGATATAATTATAATCATATATGTCATCTATATAATTTTATGTTATATGTCACATATATATATGTGACATATATATGGCACATATACGGTGACATATATATATCTATATATCTATATATCATCTATATATATTATATATATATATATAATGACATATATATCATATCTATATATCTATATATCATCTATATAATTATATTACGTCACCATATATACTTATGTAAATATATAATGTATAATATATATTATCTATATATATCATATCTATATGTCATCTATATAATTGTTATGTTACCATATATAATTATATCAACATATAATATATAAATATATAATATATTTATATATTATATAAAATTATATAATTATATTATAGTATTATAATTTTATTATATTATATTGTATAATTATATGTTATATATATAACATATTATAAATATATTATATATAATTATAATTATATAAATATATAATATATTGTATACTATATATAATTATATATGGTGACATATAAATATATATATTATATATGGTGACCTATAACACATGATATACATCTTCTTCTTTTTTTTTAATGTTTTATTTATTTCTAGGAGAGAGACAGAGACAGTGTGAGCAGGGGAGGGTCAGAGAGAGAGGGAGCCACAGACTGAAACAGGCTCCAGGCTCTGAGCTGGCAGTCAGCACAGAGCCCGACGCGGGGCTCGAACCCATGAACCACGAGATCATGACCTAAGCAAAAGTCGGACGCTTAACCGACTAAGCCACCCAGGCGCCCCTATGATATACATCTTCTATATAACTATGATATGTCATAATGTACATATAATTATATGATATATGTGATATGTCAGCACATGTAATTATATATTATATATGTCATATATCATGATGTCACCATAACTATATATACATTATGACATATATAATATATACATGACATATTATATATATGTCATCAGATGTAGTTATATATGATATATAAATGGTATATATGATACATGTAAAAATACGTATTTTGGAATATATGGAAATACATATATTTTTGTAGATATTAATATATATATATATTTGAAATATACATGAAATATATGTAGATGAGATCCAGAACCCAAGTCTAAGGAAGACACTCATGGCCACATTTTCCACCTCAGAAACTGAAGATCCGACATCGAATGTAAAGATAAGGTCTTGAATGACAATCTACCATGAAAGAGTAGTATTACCAGAAACAGTAAATATTTTTGAAAAGGCCAAGGGAGGGAGGGAGGAGATTTTCATTCAGTACCAGTTAAAACTAGACTAAAGTTCTTCTAAATACTCAGTACCTTTTGAATAAGAGGAGATTGGACCATGATTCAAACACGACAACTATAAAAAGATACATTTTGAGATAATTGCTAAAACTGACCAAGAATCAGGTTTCAAGGATATTAAAGAATTGCCATTGATGTTGTTGGGTGTAAATAACAGTATCAGGATTCTGTAAAAAAGCACTGGGGGGGGGTTGTCTTTATCCAGAAAAGATCCACATCGGGGCATCCACAGATGGAATGACAGGGCAGGGGGCTTGCTTTAAAATGTCCCCAAACAGGAGAGCAGAGGGACCGAAGACCCAGGACTAGCTGCTTGCAGACAATCACCAGAGCTGCATGATGAACGCACGGGGCTCTTTACTTCTGTGACACTTTTAAAAATTCTATTAAGAGAAAGATGCAAAGGAAAAGGAAATAAGATAGGAGACTTACCAAGCTGATGGTGATGATCTCTTCGTAAGCCAGGGAGGACTCCCCTGCAATCATGCCCGAGCCCTTTAGATTCTCCACACCCAGTCCACTGTCCTGCCCGATAATATCCGTGATGACATACCTTCACAAACCAAACATGGATTCAAGACCACATTCCAGCCCAAAAAAATTCCAGGCTGACCCAGGACCGGGGGCAGGAGGGACGAACAAAGTGAGGGAATAGAAGGTGATAAAGCAGATGTCTAGGACCCTCACAATTGGTCCTGAAGTTTCTAGAAGGGCAAGTACAGCATCAGTAATTATCGCCCTTCCAACCAAAGATGTCTGCCTATCTGGAGGCTATCCTAATGAAATGTCCCCCTGCCTTGCCTACCTCCAAAAACCATCTAGAATAGCGTTTGGTCTACAGAGAGATAGGGAAGGCCACTTGGTTCACAATCAATCAACCAATCAGTCGGTCAGTCTATCAAGATTCTATGGCCACAGAAGTGTAAGCCACTATACAGCCCAACCCCTGTTAAAGATTCACAAGGCACTGTAACAGTTAAAAGTTCTGAGAAGGTCTGCAGTAAGGACACTATTTAGATCTCCTTTAAATTCAGTGTCCCTCAACTTATCGATTATGGAAAATTTTCTTCACTATCCCCCTACAGCATATTACCAACTAATATTCCAGAAAACCTAGGCTGGGAATTCTGCTTTTGTCAACCTCACTAAAACAAAAACAAAACCGAAAACAAACAAAACCCCATAACATTCCCTGGAAAAGATACCTGGTAGCCTTGGACCTTCTCACTGGGGCAGACTCCTGCCCTGCCCACACCTTACCAGCTTGCCAAATCACTGCTGTGTCAGTTTGGCTAATTTGGGCACAAACGTGAGCCTGCAGCTCCAGGGACCGCATGGGAATGCATCTAATTCTTGCGTGATGTACTATTTTTATGAAAGCCATGACTCATTTTGGGATGTCAAGGATGGGCTCACCCTGGAGAATGCCCCAGGTGTCTAAGTCATCAGCGTCCGGAAAGCTCAGGGGTCCCCACTGTACAAACACCACCCGCCCCCATTTGAAAACATCACCCACAAGCCCAGAGGCAAAGAAAAGCCCATTAGCAGCGGAAATTGACCACAGGCAAAATGAAGGAGCTCCCTGATAAATTACTTACCTGGACTCTCCCTCTTCCTCGACATGTTTACAATGCACAGAGTTTAGGGAGCTGATTCTGGTGTAGTCTTGGGGCGTCAGATACAGGTATCTAAATCCCTTAAAAATATATATATACACTCCAGTGAGGCTATAAGTCCAGCTTCCTGTACTCAACAGCCAATGTCTTTCTAAAAAAAAACACAACTCTATAGGGGCAGAGGTTAGTATTGAGTTAACAATGTGTTAATCGCATAGTTAACATGTCTGATGTTAATACCATATTAAAAAAAATTTTTTTTAATATTTGTATTTATTTTTGAGAGTGAGAGAGAGACAGAGCGTGAGTGGGGGGCGGGGGGTGGTGGTGCAGAGAGAGAGGGAGACACAGAATCTGAAGCAGGCTCCAGGCTCTGAGCTGTTAGCACAGAGCCCAACACGGGGTTTGAAGTCACAAACCATGAGATCATGACCTGAGCCAAAGTCGGACGCTTAACCGACTGAGCCACCCAGGTACCCCTGATGTTAACACCATATTAATAACAGCTATAAACTGAAGGTCTGATCAGTGATAAGCGCTTCCCACTCATCCTTACACACAACCTCACATTCGTCCTGCTCTGAATCAGTTCCTCAATGCTCTTTTCATTGTTGCTCCCCTGAAGGGTCTATTTTCCCCCTTATCGCCAGCTCCCTCCGCCAAATTTTATTATACAGTGTATATACCATGTGTATGTATGCATATGTATATGTGTGCGTGTATATGCATGTGTGTGCACATACGTATATCTGCTTTTTACACAAAAAAGTAATTTTTGCCCCCTTTGGCCAGGGCAATATCACCCTCTTGAATGCATGCTCTGACTGCAAAAAATAGCTTGGTCCCTTGCACTTCCCCATCATGAAATGTGGGCTTTTCTCTCATTCACTGTGCCTTTTATTGTGGCTGGTGTCTGTATGTCTCCCAGACGATTTCTGAGAATTCTCTGAGGCCAGGGACTGTGTCTCGTTCTCTTCCATGCACAGCGCTTTCAGGAGCTGCTCAGGCTGTATCAGCCAGTAAATTTATAAACTTCTCTTCGTGATCATTCCCCTAAGGTGCCTTTTTAGACACTTTTTCCTAATTGCCACTCCCTCTCATTAAGTTTTAATATTGATATACTTTATATGCCTTTTATGCACTGTACGTATGTCTCTGCTTTATACACAAAGACCACTACGACTTTTCCCGCCCCTCTTGTGGGCGCGTCACCGCCCGCGGGCGATATCACACCACAGTGCTGGCTTTGTGACGTACTTTGTGGGGGTCTTCTGGGTCCACCCAAGCCACCTGGAACATGTGCTTGATCTCCTCTGCAAGGCCGATACAGGCCCCACTGTTGGCCGCGAGGTAGATTTTGGGGATGCCCTCCGCCCGGGCCATCTCAGACGCACGCAGATACAGAAGGTCCTCTCCCAGGCTGAAGGACCCAATGCGGAAGGTGATGTCATTGCTGATGACGATGGCGTCCCGCCCTTCTGGATACTCTCGGGTCTTAAACCTCATCTTGAAGGCCACCATGCCCACCTGCCAAAGGGGCAAACACACAGGGAAACAGTTTGTTTCTTTGGGGGAATGTTTTTGGAAAGGGGCTGGGCTTTGCTGAATTCTTGCCTCATTCCCTCCAGGAAGGCGGTTCATCTCCACCAGCTGGCCCTGAGAGTCCAGCACGAGTTCGGTGTAGGTCAGGATGTCTTTGGGGTACTTGTCCGTGGAGCCCCACAGTTTCAAGAGAGCCTGGGGACAGGGAAAGAAAGAGAAAACCTCACTCAAGTCACCGTTAGGGAAACACATTTTCTAGTTCTCTCTTTTTTTTAAATTATCCACTATTTAAAGCACACAGAGGGGCTCAGTCGGTTAAGCGTCTGACTTTGGCTTAGGCCATGATCTCACGGTCTGTGGGTTTGAGCCCCGCGTCGGGCTCTGTGCTGACAGCTCAGAGCCTGAAGTCTGCTTTGGATTCTGTGTCTCCCTCTCTCTCTCCCCGCCGCCCCACTGTCTCTCTCAAAAATAAACAAACATTAAAAAAAATTTAAAGCACACAGAAAAATATGCAGAATAATAAATACCCAAGCACCTATGTCATGGTTTTGTCAAATCCTAATTTTTCTGTGGTTGCTTATGATTTTTTTAAAGGGTTAAGAAAAATGCAGTTGAGGCCCCTGGGGAACCCCTCCCCAACCCATCCCTCCGACCTCTCCCCAACTGCAGATGACTATTTGTCTTGAATTTAGTGTCTACTAGTCCTGTGTGTGTTTTTATGATTTTCATTATATATGCATACATTTAAAACACGCAGGGCACCTGGCTGCCTCAATGGAAAGAGCACGTGGCTCTTGATCTACGGGTCATAAGTTCGAGCCCCACATGAGGATCAAGAGTTGTGTGCTCTTCCCACCAAGCCAGCCAGGTGCCCCTGCATGACTTAAACTTTAAATAAATGGTCTGGCCCTGGACACATCCTTCTGCACTTTGCCCCATTGGCTCCCCCATAGGTTTGAGAGCTTTATCCTCATTGGGAAATTTAACTCTGGATCATTTTTTCTGGTAGTCAGTTTCCATGGTGTGAATAGATCATAATTTACTTATTCATAACCTTTCCTAAGGAACATCAGGCTGCTTCCAATCCTACAGTATTAACAGTCAGGCTGTAATGAGCATTCTGATGGTTTTTTCTTATAAACCTGGACTAAAGTCTTACCAGATATGTACCTAGGAGTGGAACTGCTGGGTCAGTGGGTTTGTGAAGCTTCAAGTTTGCTCAAAATTATCAAATTGTTCTCCTATTTTTAATGTTTATTTTTATTTTTGAGAGACAGAGCACAAGTGGGGGAGGGGCAAAGACAGAGAGGGAGACACAGAATCCAAAGCAGGCTCCCAGGCTCTGAGCTGTCAGCACAGGGCCTGACACGGGGCTGGAGCTCATGAATTGTGAGATCATGACCTGAGCCAAAGTTGGATGCTTAAGTGACTGAGTCACCCAGGTGGCCCTGCTCTCTCATTTTTTAAAACCCTTTACAGTTCCAGTAAGAAGGCAGAAGAATTCCTTTGCTCCATGCACTTGCCAATACTTAGTTTTGTCAAATATTTTAATGTTTACTTGTCTGCTGGGTGTGAAATTATACTGCAGTATTGATCTGTCCTTCCCTGATTATTAAAGACCGCCTTTGAATACATTTATCGACCATGTCAGTTTCTTTTTTTGCCAATTTCCTTGATTACTGCTGGTCTATAAAAATGCAGTGAAGTTTTATATACTGACCTTGTACCTAGCAATCTTGCTATACTATCTCACTGGTTCTACAGATTCTTAGATTTCTTTTTTTTTTTTTTTAATTTTTTTTTTTTTAATGTTTTATTTATTTCTAGGAGAGAGAGAGAGAGAGAGACAGCGTGAGCAGGGGAGGGTCAGAGAGAGAGGGAGTCACAGACTGAAACAGGCTCCAGGCTCTGAGCTGGCAGTCAGCACAGAGCCTGACGCGGGGCCCGAACCCACGAACCGCGAGATCATGACCTAAGCGAAAGTCGGACGCTTAACCGACTAAGCCACCCAGGCGCCCCCAGATTCTTAGATTTCTTATATGGGCATCTATATCATCTGCAAAAACACCATTTTGCTTTCTTCTTTTGCATTTCAGTCTTTATGCCTTTTACTTTTTTTTCTTGTCTTATTGTATTGGCCAGGAACTCCAGTAAAAGAAAATGTTGACTAGATATGGTAATAAAGGAGATAGATAGATAGGTAGATAGATAGATCTTTTAACATTTTACCATTGGGGCTATTAATTTGAGATTAATATCTTTTATCAAGAGAAACTCCCTTTTATTCATAGTTTATTAAAAGTTTTTATTATGAACAGATGTTATCTTGTCCAATACTTTTTTCATATCTATTGAGAAATTTTAATTTTTTCTTAATCTATTAGTATGGTAAATTACATTAATAGATTTCCTAATATCAAATCATATAAGCAGTTACAGGATAAACCTTACTTAGTCCAACTTTAAAAAACCATTACTGGATTTCTTTTTTTTTTTTTTTTTTAATTTTTAATGTTTTATTTATTTCTGAGAGAGAGAGAGAGAGACATAGCATGAACAGGGAGGGTCAGAGAGAGAGGGAGACACAGAATCCAAAACAGGTTCCAGGCTCTGAACTAGCTGTCAGCACAGAGCCTGACGCGGGGCTTGAACCCACAACTGTGAGATCATGACCTGAGCCAAAGTCGGACGCTCAACCGACTGAGCCACCAAGGCGCCCCTGGATTTCATTTACTAATATTTTATTTATTATTTTTGTGCCCATGTTCATAAATGAGACAACATATTTCCCTTCTCCTAATGTTCTAATCTGTGATTCCATATTAAGGTAATAATAACTGGAAAAAACAAGTGAAGAAGTATTCCGTTTATTTTTTCTAGTCACTAAACAATTTGTATACAAAGGGAATTATCTGTTCTTTGAAGGCTAGATAGAAATTATAAAACCATCTGGGCCCAATTTTAGTAAATAGGCTTTTTTGAACTATTATTCAATTTCATTAATGCTAATTATCTATTAGATTTTCTACTTCTTCTTGAGTCAGTTTTGATACGATACAGTTTTCTTGAAAATTTTTCTTTGTTTTTAAGTTTTCAAATGTATAGGCTGTCCACAGTATTCTGTTTCTTTACCTAAAAGAAAGGGGATGGATTTGCTCTTGATTTGCCTTTTTCGTATCTTATGGCCCTTGAGGTAAAAGGCAAAAGGATACAATGACATTCATAATCATAAAAGTTTCTATTTAATTAAGCACCTCCTGAATACATATATTCCTTTGCAAGGAATTGGATACTATTAACTTTGCAAGGCAGATACTATTATTAATGCCACTGCACGGGGGAGGAGACTAGCCCCCAGGAGTGAAGAAACTTGCCCAACTATACACAGAAAGCAAAGGACAGATCTGGGATTCAAGCCCAAGTCTGCAAAGGGCAGCTTTTCCTACTAGTCGGCCTCTCCTATGCCTCAAGTGAACGGACGCTTTCCTGCCTACAGGGGAAGGTCCACAACCACGGATTCACAGCCATCATTCACAAGGCAATGGAAGGGATGTAAACAGACACTGTATCACCAATGCCCTCCTGTTCGGTCTCCCTGGAAGGCTCTACTGCATAAAGAAATAAAGGCATGGTAACAATACTCGAAGGAAACACTAAAATGTTACTTCAGTAACAATGGTGAACAGATTACATTAGGGTGGAATTTTATTTGTGGAGTCCTATTCTTCTCTATTTTCCAATGAATAGTTTAAACACCAGGAAAACACAACAAGATGCTATTTTTTAAAAAGTAGACTACAAGTTCCTTAAAGCGAGTGAGTGACTCCACCCTCTCCCTCAGGGTCCACCTGCCCACTGAACGGTGCCTGGTAGGAGGCAGGCAACTACCTTAATACATGAGCTCTTAATAAATGAGCTTTAAAAAGACCAGAAGGAAACACACCAAAATTATTAAGCAACGTGTCTCTGGGACACGGAACTATGGGTCCCTTTTTTCTTTCTTTCCACACTCCTTTATTTTCCAAAGTTTCTACATCATAGTACTTTTTACCATCGGGAGGAAAGTAGGCTTATTTGAGACAAAACACTGGGAAGGAATTCCCACCATGGAGTCCCTTCTCTTCACAGAGACCTCATCCTTTAGACTGCAGTCTTCAGAAGAGTAAGCAAGGCCGGGGGTTGGGGGGGAGGCCGATGGGACCCCTACGGGGCCCTGGGCCGCCGTCGCCACAGGACTTGCCTGCCTGAACATCTCCGGGAAGTCGTACACATAGGTGGTACCCAGGGACTGGGCCTGGAATCGCTTGGCCTGAAGCAGGTCCTTGGTCACATAGGGGGTGTTGATCAGCATCCCGTGCTGGGGGCCTTGTTTGCTGCCGAAGGAGTGAAACATGATCTGGGAAGACAGAAAGAAAAATAGAGTGAAGGAGGGGCTCTCGGAGAACCACGCTCCTGTCCAACTCGCTCCTACCCTTCCCAAAGAAAAGGCGGCAGAGAAGCGAAGCACGTCACGTCACACGACACAGCGCAGGCCCCAGAGAGCTCCTCTTCCTTTCTCTGCCCCTGTGGGCAGCCCGGACAAGAAGGGACAGTGACAGGTATGGGAGTGTAGCTCCAGAAATGTGACTGTCGTAGTACTTTACACACGCAAACACTGGTGAAATCTGAATAGAGTCCAGTCCGCCTTTGTGTTAATAGCACTGTGCCCATGTCAACCACCTGTCATGACAAGGTCTCATGTTCATGGTGTTACCATTGGGGGGAGTTGGGGGAAGGGTACCTAGCAACCCCCTGCAGTCATTTTTTCCCCTCTGTACTATTTTTCCGCCCTCCTGAGACTCTTTAATCGCTTAAAAATAAACAGTTATATATGTAAAACTGGAAGTCAGTGGGATATTTGGTCCAGTTTACAAACATCGGTTCTAAGGCACAGCTGGGGAAATGACCCACTTCCCTAAGTGAAGCAGCCTGGGAGCTGCATTACAGTGACCCCAGGCACTCCACACCTTCTCCCAAACACAGTCCTCGAAGGGATTAAACTTTGGATTGATTCTCCTTCCCAGAGGAACGAACAACGGGAATTCAGAGGCTAACACATTTACCGTAAACTCAAAGCAGCCACCCCGATCCATCGTGGCAAAACACGATGGATCCCCAAACACCATTTGAGTCTGCGTCTTGCTCTCATGAGCAGACTGCCCCTGCCTCCCGCTTTGAGGGGGTCCCTGCAGCCCCGCCCAGCCTTACGTTTCCAGATCTGGGGTCCGTGACTTCTTTATAGAGGCTGATGTCCAGGTAGTAGCCCGATTCATTGGTGATGAACAGGCGGATGGGAACGGCACTGCCGGTGGTGGTCTGGCGGATGTTGATCTTGACCTCGGCCTGCAGCACACGGAGTTTCCACAGCCGGCTGCCGTAGCGCATCACCATGGAACGCACGGACTCCTCGATCTGCCCCCAAATCACAGCGATCTCATCTCAGGGTCCATTCCATGCACACTTGTGATAGACAGTTCTAGCCATTTGTAAATAGTTCTAATTATAGCGGAATGACGAGGGACATGGCATGCAACACACCTGCGACACATTATCTAGCCAACCACTACGGGCCAGAAATAGCCACATGCTAAGTATATATGATCTCATTCCATCTCACAATTACTTCGAGAGGGCGGCATTTTTATACCCCATTGACAGAGGAGGACACTGAGGCTGGTAAGTGACAGAGCTGGTACACCTACATCGTGTCAATCTTCATCTCCACCGTGTAGCTGGAGCCTTGGCATTTTCCTTTCTGAGCACTATGTGGGTTTGCGGAGATGGGGCATTGGCATGGGCCCTCTGTACTCCACAGATGACAAGCTGATGTCCCGGGACTCTGTCCCCTTCCCTCCCACACACGGTCCCCAAGAGCCTAAAGAGCCAGGAACCAGGGATGAAAGTTTGTTTTGCCAGACATTTCGGGCATTCATGTCATCCCAAAGGATACTTGCGAAGGCTGCCCGCGAAGGCTGAGCAGCAGGACAGGGACAACCCTGAGGGCATTGGCCCAGATACGGCTCGGGAATTCACCAGCCGCAACCGAGGCTTGAAAACGCACATACGTGTCTGGGAACTCGGGTCTCGAGTGCAAGGAGACAAGTCCCCAAAAACAGCAAGGAAAGAAGAGCCACAGGCCCAGGGAGAGGTGACCCAGAGCCTCCCCAGAGGCGAGACCTTGAAGGGGTCCATGATGACGGTGGGCACGAAGTTCAGGAAGATGTGGTTGCAGTCGGTGCGCACGCTCGTGTTGTTGAACGCCACCTCCAGTTCGTCCATGGCTTCCAGGAGCAGCCGCTCACCCTCGTTCTGCAGGTACTCAAAGGAGGCTTCCTGCCAAAGCGGGAGGGACAGGCGCTGAGGCAAGGGGCGCAGGGGCCGGAAACGGGGCCTCGGGCAGACACGGAGGCAGGAAAACATTTCCCCTCCTCCAGCAAGTATGCGGAGCCCTGCCTCTGCAGGTGACCCTGTGCACAGTGACCCTGCCTTCTATCTTCTGTATCGTGATGCTCTGGCCAGTGGGGCCTCAGTGACTCTGGAGGGACTGACCCTCCAGGGTTACCAATTCCTAGAGATAGTCAACAACTCACCCAAAGGCAGTGCACTTTTCACAAATGCAAACCAACCAGTCCAGAGCACACACCTCCTCTGTGGGGCTCTCACCTTCCAGGTCACTGTCCACCTGCCCTAATCACCCCAGGCCCAGATTCCAGACAACTAGAGACAGCCCCTCAGTTCCAGAACCTGCTAAAATCCTTCAGACAAGCCAGTCCCAAGCCGGCCTCCCCTGCCGCACCTGCTCCTTCCTGCAGGAGCCACAACGAAGGCTCTGACCCACGTTTCCCCTCCTCCCCTGCCTCTCGGCCGCCCCTGATGCTTCCCCATGTGGCTGCCGGTGGCATGGTGTGCCCCTCCTCTTGGGATCTGAGAGCGACAATCTTTGTAGTGGCAACTGGTTCCCGATCTAGCGGCCTTACTGTACCTGAAAATAGTAAGACCCATGAAAATAGCTAGTTGATCGAGGCAGCAAAAAGCTGACATCAGCTTAACATCCATCAATACAAAACAAAACATCACACCCACGGTACATCCAGGCAAGGACAGGGCATGAGGCAGATCATCTTCATTAACACAGGAGGTGAGGTCGACGAGGCACTGACTGACCAGTAAAACAGCAACAAATTTCAAATGATTGGTCCCTCCTCAGCCCCCGCCCACAACCCTCCACCGGTAACTCTATGTATGGAATCGTGCCTGGAAAGGGTCACCAACGGGGCTGACCCCTGCATGGTGGGACTCTGGGTCTGTCTCCTTGATTAAAAAATTTTTTTTAATGTTTCTTCTTTGAGACAGAGGGAGACAGAGTGAGAGTGGAGGAAGGGCAAAGAGAAAGAGACACAAAATCCAAAGCAGGCTCCAGGCTCTGAGCTGCCAGCACAGAGCCCAACACGGGGCTCAAACCCACGAACTGTGAGGTTATGACCTAAGCCAAAGTCGGCCGCTGAACTGACTGAGCCACCCAGGTGTCCCTCTTTCTCCTTGGTTTTTAAAAGTAGTTTTCAGGGGCACCTGGGTGGCTCAGTCGGTTAAGGGTCCAATTCTTGGTTTTGGCTCAGGTCATGATCTCATGGTTCATGAACTCATGCCTGACGTCGGACCCTGAGCTGACAAGAGCCTGCTTGAGATTTCTCTCTCACTCTCTCTCCGCCCTCCAGCTTGCTCTCTTTCTCTCTCAAACAACAAACATTTTTAAAAATTTTTAATTAGAAAGTAATTAAAATAATTTAAATTTAAGTCAATTTAATTTAAAATTTTAATTTAATTAACTAAAATTTTAATTAAAAATTAATTAATATTAAAAAATTTTTAAATTTAAATTTAAATCAATGTAATTTAAAATTTTATTTTATTTTATTTTTAATTGTTTTTATTTATTTCTGAGAGAGAGAGAAAGACAGCATGAGCAGGGGAGGGTCAGAGAAAGAGGGAGATACAGAATGTGAAGCAGGTTCCAGGCTCTGAGCTAGCTGTCAGTACAGAGCCCAACACGGGGCTCAAACCCACGAACCTTGAGATCATGACCGAAGTCGGATGCCCAACCGACTGAGCCACCCAGGCGCCCCTGTAATTTAAATTTTTAATTTAATTAACTAAAATGTTAATGAAAATTAATTTTTAAAATTTAAATTAATTTCATTTAAAATTTTAATTAAAAAATTAAAAATTTACATTTACATTAATTTCATTTAAAATTTTAATTTAATTAAAATTTTTGATTGAAAATGTAGTTTTCAGTATTCTTTGAAAAATTCACACTATAATCATAGATGACTATTCTGAATGTGTTGAAAAATGATCACACCCTCCGTGAGCACATACAAGCAATTCCCTGAATACCCTAGCCCTCTTTACCTTCTCGGTTCCCTTCTCACGCAGACAGAGTAGGGGCAAAGCCCAGCGAAGACCGACAAGTTCAGGGGAGAAAGAAACCCTCCGCGACGTTTTACCTTCGTGATGAGGTCCGAGTGCCTGATGATGGCGCGGATGAAGAACCTGTGGTCGGTCACTTCCACACCTTCCTGCACTTTGGCGGCGCCCAGGTACAGGTGCATCTTGTGGTTGGCGCAGGGCACGGCGGTCAGATCGAAGCTGCGCATCCGGCTGAGCTCCAGCTGGAAGGCCAGGGCGGGTTCCAGGTGGCGGTAAATGCGATCTTCTGCGAACTGCCGGCGGCCAGAGAGCAAAGTCGGACAGACACACAGACAGACATTGAATCTGACACTGGGGCTGCACGGCTGCCTGGTCGGCACCCTGTCCTATAGACCCCTGGTGTTTGTGGGTTTAGCACTCAGGGGATGTAGCCTTCCTTATGGTAGCCGTGGGCAGCCCTAGGGCTCAAGAGATTCGGGGTTTGGGAGGGTCCAGACAAGAGCCACAAGCTCTGTAAGACCTGTGTGCCAGCACCAGGCTCTCAGCTCCCAGGTGAGCCTGCCTGCACCTCAGCACCTGCCAGCACAGCCTCTTTTCTGTCACAGCACAGGGTACCTCTCAGGAAGTCACTAAAGGCTGGTTTCTCGGTGGAAACTGGTCCCCAGAAGGAAGCAACAGACAGTGTTGGAGACTGAACTAGAGGAGATGAAGACCCTATAGAAAGGTGGGGTCTAACCCAGAAATGGAAGGCTTTGGGTAAATTAAACCACAGAATACTGAATAGGATAGAGTCCCGAGTCTGTGATGGGAATAAGCCTGCCTGTTCTAGAATAGGGATGAGCAAAAGCTTTTCTTTAAGGGCCAGAGAGGGAAGATACGAGGCTGGTGGACCACACGGTTGGTCAGAGCCACGTGATCTCTGCCACTGGCCCGAGAAAGCACACAGCGGGAAACAGGAGATCAATGGGCGTGGCTGTGTTCTAGTCAAACTCTGTTTATCAAAACGGGCAGTCGGTCTGCAGGAACATAAGAAAAAGAGGTTGGGAGGGGCGCCTGGGTGGCTCCATCGGTTGAGTGTCCAACTTCTGCTCAGGTCATGATCTCGCAGTTCATGAGTTCGAGCCCTGCATTGGGCTCTGTGCTGACAGCTCAGAGCCTGGAATCTGTTTCAGATTCTGTCAATCTCTCTCTTCCCCTCCTCTGTTTGTGCTCTGTCTCTCTCTGTCTCTCAAAAATAAATAAAACATTAAAAAAATTTTTTTAAAAAGAAAAGGAGGTTGGGAGAGCCGTCTGCTGACATAAGTGACACACAGATGAGGGAGAAATCTGAGTGAAGGCTGAAAGGGCAGGCAGCATAGGGGCTTAGCCTCACAGGGAAACACAATCCCAGAGGAAGGCTGGAGTTTACGCAAAAGTTACATGTCTGTTCTTGAATATAGAGGTACCTCAAGGACTGGGAACTATACTCTTCCCAAAGATCGAAGATGCCAGGGAGGCAAGAACACTATCCCTGCTTTACATCATACCTCGTCTCTTGCTCTGAATGTGAAAAACTTCGGAAATTCTTTCTGCAAAAGAAACCCATACAAGAGACAATGAAATCAAGCAGACACATACAAATACTTGTTTTGTTGTTTTTTTAAAAGCTGTAACCCCATCTGTTTCCAGAATGAATCATTTGAAAACCTTCTCTTTTCTAGTGATTGCTCTATTCCACTCCCTTCTCCTGAGTAAACATCAAATCATCGGCACCAAGTCTTAAGGAACATGAAAGACTCACACAGATGCACCAAGAATCGCACTGACCTCCTGGGCAATGAGGAACGTGATTCTTCGGAGCCCGTAATCCACAAGGATGTTTTTCTACGGTAAAAACCAAGTATGTCATGGAATAGTATTTAGCTATAAAAAGAAATGAAGTACTGATACAAGTTCCCACATGGATGAACCTTGACAACATGATGCTGAGTCAAAGACACCAATCACAAAAGACCTCATATTGCATGATTCTATTTATATGAAACATCCAGAATTGGCAGAAACATAGAGATAGAAAGTAGATTAATGGTTGCCTAGGGTGGGGAGGGGCAGGGAAGGTGTTGGTTGAGGGAAAATGGGGAATGATTGCTAATAAGTGTTTTTGCTAGGAGGTGATGGTAAAAATGTCCTAAAATACATTTAGGGGTGCCTGGGTGGCTCAGTTTGTTAAGCATCTGTCTCTTGATAGCTCAGGTTGTGATCTTGCGGTCAGAGGATCAAGCCCTGTATCAGGCTCTGCACTGGCTGTGAAACTAGCTTGGGATTCTCTCTCTCCCTCACTCTCTGCCCCTCCTCCATCCTCTCTCTCTCTCAAAATAAATAAGTGTTAAAAAAATAGAATAAAATACATTTGTCATAATGATGGTCATACAACTAAATGAATATACCAAAAAATGCTGAATTGTATATTTTTGATGAGGGAATAGTGTAGTATGTGAATTATATTTAGTAAAGCTATTATATTAAAATATACATATATTATCCATATTATTATTTAAACATATCATGAAAGCTTTAATAAAATTGAGGGGAGAGGTCACTGTCATATTTTTAAAAAAGAAAAGTTGGGGTGTCTGGCTGGCTCAGTTGGAAAAGCATGTGACTCTTGATCTTGGGATTGTGAGTTCGAGCCCCATGTTGGATGTAGAGATCACTTAAAAATAAAATCTTTAAAGAAAAAAAGACAGGCACAAAGAAACTACACCATATGACTGCATTTACACAAAATTCAAGAACAGGTGAGACTAATCTATATTGTTAAAACTCAGGCTAGTGGTCAGTTATCTCTGGCAAGGAGGAGCTGAGAACATTAGTTTGTGGGGTTTTTTTTTTTTTAATCTGAATGCTGGTTACACTTGGGAATTCACTATGAAAATTCATTAAGTTGTACATTTATGATTTGTATACTTTTCTGTATGTTAAACTCCAATTGGAAGGCATCCAAGAAAAGTACAAAACTGTTTTTAGTTAATCCCTAAATGAAATATTATTTTCTATAGTATTATATAAGGGGAAAGAAAAACACAAAAGACAAAGAAATACAGTTCTTGCTTAACTTGTCCATATAGTAAAGAAAATTATTAGGGGAGATGAGTTGTCTCAGCGCATTTCAGAAAGACGGAACTAGACAAACACAAAATAATACTTAATGGGAGGTGGCTGGGTGGCTCAGTTGGTTAAGTGTCCAACTTTTGCTTTCGGCCCAGCTCATGATCTCACAGCTCATGGGTTTGAGCCCCAAATCGGGTTCCACACTGACAGTGCTAATCCTGCTTGGGATTCTCTCTCTCTCTCTCTCTCTGCCCCTTCCCTGCTTGTGCTCTCAAAAAAAATAAATAAACTTAAGAAAAAAAAAGAAAACTTAATGGAATGTCGGTTGCAAAGAGAAGAAGATAAACTATAAAATGGAAGAGGATTTCAATGTGGGCAAACTAACCTGGTTACAGGGAGCCTGAATCATTAGTTCTCAACTAAGGATATGCATCAGTGTGTGCATGGGAAAGTATATGTATATTAGTGTGTGTACGTGAGAATATGTACATAGGTATATACTTAATGTAAAAAAATTTAAATACTCTAGCAATACAGAACATTAAATATATAACAAAAGATATATTTTATATAACATAATATATAATGTTAAACATAAATATATTAAAGTATATATATATATAATATAAAATATATAACATTAAAAGTTCTTCCCTTTCCCCTAGGTATATATTCTTCTAGCTCTCCTCTCTTTGGTATGTTTTTACCACACACATACCACACACACACACACACACACACACACACATATAACATCACTCACTGCCCATACTTTTCCCTCCATTCTGCCCTCTCCAGGCAAGAAACATCACTTATCTTGAGCATCATCTGATTTGGTTAAAGGGTAGGGCAAACCACAACCCCTCAAATCTATGCCTTATCATCTATGCCATTGGAGGCCAGATGTAACTTCAGGAAGGACATTAGCAATGTCAAGAAGAAACCCACCAAAGGGAAATACATCAATATCTTCATCCCGGGGCTAGATGGTAGGGTTGTGGGCTTTGTTTTAAGACCTACTTTTCAGGGGTACCTGGGGGGCTCAGTCAGTTAAGCATCTGACTTCAGCTCGGGTCTTGCTCTCACTGTCTGTGAGTTCAAGCCCCGTGTCAGGCTCTGTGCTGACAGCTCAGGGTTTGGAGCCTGCTTTGGATTCTTGTGTCTCCCTCTCTCTCTGCCCCTTCCCCATTCACACTCTGTCTCTCTCAAGAATTAAAAAAAAAAAAAAAGTAAAAAAAACATAAAAAATTTTTAAATAAATTAAAAAATAAAGTCTACTTTTCAGATTTCTCTGCACCTTAAACATTTTCTACAATGAACATCATTATACTGGTTTTTTTTTTATTTTATTTTATTTATTTCTTTAAAGAGACAGAGATAATGCAACTGGGGGAGAGGCAGAAAGAGAGGGAGGGAGAGAGAGAACCCTAAGCAGACTCTGTGCTGCCAGTGCAGAGCCCGATACAAGACTCGAACTCATAAAACAGTGAGATCATGACCAGAGCCAAAACCAAGAGTTGGACGCTTAGTGGACTGAGCCACCCAGGTGCGCCCCTACATTTGTTAATTAATCAAGTAAAGTCTAAGTAAATCACTGACAATATGTCCCTAAGCTTTCATGGTGTTATCCAGGACTCAGTACCATTAACCCCCATCTTCCGCCTAGGAAGCACCAGGTCCTCTGAGGGACACCAAGTCAGAGGAGGTAATAAGTGTCCCTCCCACTTGGATAATATGGAGAACACAACAATGTACAGATAAACAGACTAAAAAAACGACAACTAAAAATTTCCAAGTGGTCTTGAAGTTGAGCCCAACTTAGAACTAATGGCCAGGCAGTGTGCCTGGGAGATTTGATTAATTTATGAGTTCAGAAATCTCCGCAGCCCATTTTACAGATGGGGAAACTACGGAAAAGAGAGGTAAAATGACCTGCCTGAGGTCACACAGTACCTTCCTGCCGTTTCTACCACCTACGCTTGCCAAGCCGCTCCATGGCTGTTTGCAGCTGAGGTCTGTGAGCATATATAACAGCTGTCCCTACTGCGGGGGTGAGAAAATACGCTCGCAACTACCACGTGGTTATAAAAGCAAAGTCTTTGCATATATGGGAGTCAGCATCAGTGACTATGTATTTAAAGATTTGAGTTTTCTGGTTACTTCGACAAAAAGCATTCCCCCCGAAACCCCTAACTATTTATCAAATGCATCTCTGAAATGGCATATATACTGGCTCATTTCATCACTTCCCCAGCTAAGTGGTTGGTATACAGGTAACCCCTGAATAATGAATAATGTGGGGGTTAGGGGCACTGACCCCTGAGCAGTCGATAATCCATGTATAACTTTTGACTCTCCAAGAACTTAATTATGAACAGCCTACTGTTGACCAGAAGCCTTACCTAGAACTTCAACAGTCAGTTAACACATATTTTGCATGTTATGGGTATTATATACTCTAGTCTTACAATAAGGGAAGCCAATGAGAAGAAAATCATAAGAGAAATTACATTCATAGCCATAACCTGTGTTGGAAAAAAATGTGTGCATGTTGTTCAAACGTCCACTGCACATACTTTGTCCTTTGATCTTTCCAACACTCCAGGAGAGAAAAATGCTGCCATGTTATTGGGGAAGAAGCCAAGGCTCTTCCGCATTCAGTCACTTCTGCCCGGGCTACAGGCTGTCAGGAGCAGCAGAGCTAGGATGGGAAGCCAGGTCTGCGGCTCTGAAGTGCACGGTGGACTCGGGCACACGGGACGCCTCTCCGCGACAGCTCTCCCCCCATCCTTCAGTGACTCGGGGCCAGAAGCATGCCCAGCGTACCTTGGACTGTACGAACGTCCGGAAAATCGGCACCAGCTGCTCATCTTCCAGGTGGTCCGCACACTGGATGGCCACATTCAGGATGTGGATTGGCTCTTCTCTGAGGTTCTGGGAGAGACAGATAATGGCAGGTAGGAGGAGGGACTCAGGGCCCCCAGGCCGCCCCTCCTGGACACCCTCCCTGCTCAGAACGCTTACCTTGTTCTCCTCCTCAGAGTACAAGGGGCTGCAGGCCTTCCTGAAGAGGGGGGCTTCCCTGGGCACGTTGGCAAAGCAGGAGATGACTTCATCGAAGTTCCTGGGGGCGTGGGGTGGAGAGGCAGGGCTGAGGGGCTGCTGGCTCCCTGAGGTCGTAGACCAAGATTTCGCTCCGGACAGATGAAGGCTTGGGTCCTTCCTCTTTCCCGCCCAAGGCTTTGTGAGCTCATACAACTCCACCCAGGGCTCACTCGGTCCCTGACCAGGTCCTAGTCACCACCAATGGGGTCTTTCCCCAAAGGGAAGAAGGGACCTATGTGATCTGAGATCGTAAATAAAAGAAAGGGTGTCCAATGCTCCGGGGCTTCAGCTGGGTGCCCCCTGTTACCAGCTGGGAGACCCTCACACCTCCCTTCACCAAATCAACTAAGGCCACTGTGGAGTTACAACAAGACAACCCAAGCACGACGCACAGCACCCAGGAACAGGTGGGAGCATGGGCAATAATAACAAGACTGATCGCTGACATTTACTGAGAATGCCGTCTATTCCTTAACTTTACCTTAATGCAACATTTAATATACTCTATCTCATCTCATTCTCCCGGTAAGCCTATGAAGGAGATCCTTCTCTTCTCCCCATTATAAAGGTGAGAAAACTAAGGCGCAGAGAGGTTAAATAATTTGCACAGAGTGTCACAGCGAGGAAGCACACGGGCAGCATTTGCCCAGAGTGTCACAGGCAGGCCGCACACACAAATGGGTGGGGGCAGGAGAAGCTTGCTCGGCCCTCTGCTCCAGAAGTCTGGGAGACAGGGCCACTCTGGGTACCTTGTGAAGTCCTCAAATCTCCTGAAGGCAACCATGGCCCCCATCCGCTGACACAGTGGGGCGAAGCCGCTGTCCATGAAGAGCTCGGTGCTGTGCCTCAGCAGGTCGGGGTTGGTGACACTGATGGGCACGGCCATCCTGCAGGGGGACCAGAGGCGGGGAATGAAGCAGCTACTTGAAGATCTGGCCCCAAAAGCTGTTCCTTCCCTGGAAGCTTCGATGAGCCAGACCAGACCAGAGCCCTCCCCTAGTGAACCTAGGGGTGGGAGGGGCTGGGGTCTGGGGCTGAGGAGTCCTCTTTACTTATTAATTTTTTAATGTTTTTTTGAATTTATTTCTGAGAGAGAGAGACAGACTGTGAGTGGGGAGGGGCAGAGAGAGAGGGAGACATAGAATCTGAAGCAGGCTCCAGGCCCTGAGCTGTCAGCACAGAGCCTGATGTGGGGCTTGAACTCACAAACCATAAGCTCATGACCTGAGCTGAAGCAGGACGCTCAGCCGACTGAGCCACCCAAGCGTGGGGCTGAGGAGTCTTTTATTTGATTGCTCAGGACCCGGTACAGACTAAGAGTGCAATGAGTGAGTGAGTGAGTAAGTGAGTGAGTGAATGAATGATGCATACATGCACGCATGCAGACAAGGCCACCCCTCCACATGGTCCCAAGTCCAAATCCAACACCGTGAACTCAGCCACAGAGAATGAACACTCTTAGGGCCAACTTCTGGAGAGCCCAGCCCTAGGTGGCTAGTGAAAGGGCCGGCTTGGTTCTAGAGAGAAATGCCAGGCCTCTGCTCTCCCAGTTTCTACCCCTCCATCAAACCCACTCTTGGGACAGGGTCAGAAACCAAAACTGGTGCCTCGACCAGCAGCCCATGAGAGGTTGTCTGGCCACTGCCTCCAGGGTGCGCCACGCACCAGCAGCAAATGCAAACAGATACCCTGGAGCAGCTATAACTGGGCCCTGGCATCAAGGGAAGGGGGGGCTACGGGAGGGGGTGCAGAAAAGAGACCTGGGGGTGCTCTCCTGAAAGGAGACCTCCTGGCGAGGCTGCCCACCGGCTGGCGTCTGGGAACTTGGGGAGGGTTCCCGCCGGTCCCTAAAGCATGCAAGAGGCTCACTGTGCCTTGTGGTTTGTGCCGAGCACCTGCTCTCCTTCTGGAGTCGGGGATTTGGGTACAAGGCAGAGGACGTCAACATGAGCGGCCCCCAGCGGGCACCCGGGGCGCTGGGTCTGTAACCAGCTGCTGGACTGCACTGAACACAGGCCGTCACAATGCGCTGCTGGGGCAACCGAGCGCATCCTACGGGACTCCCCTGGGGAGGTCTCCTGCACTGGGCGTCCTGGGGACTTCACCCCCATGACCCTCTTCCTTTTGGGGACCATGCCCGCTTCATGGGCTTTCCCTGTGACACGTCACAGCCACAAGCAGGACACATACTGAGCCCTGTAAATCTTCCCAGCCAACTGTCAAGTCGGGGTGATCTTGGAGACACCTGACCCAGGTGGGACAGGGCCTCTGTGCCTTCCTGTTGGGGCCCCCTGAAATCAACACCCCCACCCCAGGCTCCCTGCTCTCAGACAGCTAAGTGTAGAGTAGCAAACTGGCATAGTGGCATAGGCTGAATTCAGCCCACAGTTTGACATGGGTCCCTGCAGCATTTTTAATTGTTTTTTAAAGTTTATGTATTCATTTGAGAGAGAGAGAGAGCAGGGGAGGGGCAGAGAGAGGGAGAGACAGAATCCCAAGTAGGCTCCACACTGTCAGTACAGAGCCTGAGGCGGGGTTCGAATTCACGAACCTTGAGATCATGACCTGAGCCGAAACCAAGAGTTGGACGCTTTACCGACTGAGCTACCTGGGCACCCCAGTCCCCGCAGCATTTTTAATATTTTCCTACACGTCAATTACCTGTTCACAGTGAAAAGTTGAAGAATTTTTTTCTCAAGTCTAGATGTCCTGCTTTTCTTGAGGGAGAAAAAAAAAAGGAAAGATGTGGTCGGGCTGTGCCATTTTCCTGGGGGTAGTTCCTCAGGTGTAGCCACTCTCTCCCGCTCCTGGCCCCCAGCGGTGCTCACAGCCCCCGTGGGCCCTAAGTCCTGGCTGCACCCCGGGTGATGCTCTGCTGGCCTCTGACTTCCCCACGCTGGTCCCTGACCCAAATCACAATATGCCTGGCTCTCCAGCCTGGAGGGGGGACTTCAGTCATCACGGCTCTTCCCAGAGGCCCTGAGGAATGGGATTTGGTGGGGGTGAGGGGAGGGGGGCAGCCGCAGGCAGAGTGTTCCCTGAAGCCACAGCCCCAGAGCAAGCTTCCAGTCTCCCAGCCAACAGCCACAGCAAGGACCTGAGACGGTCAGGGAATCCCTTCTGAGGGCCTCAATATCTGTGCGGGTCAAAATAGGACCCTATGTTGGGGTGCCTGGGTGGCTCAGCCGGTTAAGCCTCTGACTTCGGGTCAGGTCATCATTGTGCAGTCTGTGGGTTCAAGCCTTGAGTCAGGCTCTGTGCTGACAGCTCAGAGCCTAGAGCCTACTTCAGATTCTGTGTCTCCTCTATCTGCCCCTCCCCTGCTCGTGCTGTCTCTCTAAAAATAAACATTAAAAAAAAAAATAGGACCCTGTGCCCACACTGATGGTCACAACTGATAACCCAGATATGTATGTAGATTCCTCCTAAGGAACAACATGTGACTGACCTGCAGGCTTGAGGAAAGCCTCCTTCCTTTCCTTTTTTTTTTTTTTTTAAATGTCTTATTTATTTCTGAGAGAGAGAGAGAGAGAGACAGCGTGATCAGGGGAGGGTCAGAGAGAGAAGGAGATACAGAATCCAAAACAGGCTCCAGGCTCTGAGCTGGCTGTCAGTACGGAGCCCGATGCGGGGCTCGAACCCATGAACTGCGAGATCATGACCTGAGCCGAAGTCAGATGCTTAACCGACCGAGCCACACAGGTGCTCCAGCCGCCTTCCTTTCCTAAGCAGGTGGAACTGCTAAGACAATGAAGAGAATTGCCTCCTCAGGGGCACAGAGTTTCAAAAGCCCTTACGCCATGCCTCCCACAGTCCCCAAAACGATGCCAGGGCTGCAAGCACATCATCCCTTTTCTCTCAAGTGGGGGAAACACCATGATCTCCCCCCATTTTTTTTTTGGAAATAGGAAGGGCAAAAATAAATGATAAATATGAAAGGTGCCTCATGGGGAAGCACTTTCTTCCTTCGTCCATAACAGAGCAACACCCACAGCGTCTGGGTGGCTCAGTTGGTTCAGCGTCTGACTCTCAATTTCGGCTCAGGTCATGATCTCACAGTTTGTGAATTCGAGCCCCACGTTGGCTCTGCGGTGACAGTGCGAAGCCTGCTTGGGATTCTTTCCCTCTGCTCCCTCTCTCTCCTCATACTCTCTCTCAAAATAAACTTTAAAAAAATTTGTTTTAAAAAAACAACAAGGGGCGCCTGGGTGGCTTAGTCGGTTAAGCATCCAACTTTCACTTAGGTCACGATCTCACGGTTCGTGGGTTCAAGCTCTGCGTCAGGCTCTATGCTGACAGTCAGCTCAGGGCCTGGAGGCTGTTTCCAATTCTGTGTCTCCCTCTCTCTCTGACCCTCCCCTGCTCACGCTTTCTCTCTCTCCTAGAAATAAAAAAAAAAAAAAACAAAACAGAGCAACAACCTTCTTGAAGGCAATGGAAAAAAAAAACACATAGGTTTTGAAATCCCAAGAGATTCAAATATACACCCCCCCCACACACACACTGGAATATTACTTGGCAATCAAAAAGAATGACATCTTGCCATCTGCAATGTTATGGACAGAGCTAGAGTATTATGCTAAGTGAAATAAGTCAGAGAAACACAAATACCATATGATTTCACTCATACGTGGAATTTAAGAAACACAACAGATGGACACAGGGGAAGGGAAGGAAAAAGAAGATAAAAATAGAGAGGGAGGCAAACCATAAGAGACTCTAAACTATAGAAAATAAACTGAAGGTTGATGGGGGTTGGGCTAGATGGACGATGGGCATTAAGGAGGGCACTTGTGATGAGCACTGCGTATCGTATGTAAGTGATGAATCGCTGAATTCTATTCCTGAAACCAAGGCTAACCTATGCATTAACTAAGTTGAATTTAAATAAAAACTTGGGAGGGCAAAAGAAATCATGAACTCTGTTGCCCAAACAGATACAAGATCTGGTTAACTCAACGCCCAAATCATGATGAGCCCATCCTAGCCACAAGCCAAGTCTGTGGGGACCCCCAGGAGAACCCCACACAGTGAAGCAAAGGAGAGGGTAAGAGAACGCGCCACGTCGTAGGGACAGTGACTGCCTTAGCTCAAGGTAACACACTCTACCTGACCAGAACAGTACTGTGCATCCTGAAATAAGATGGCTTAAAAACAAAAAAAAGAGATGATGAGGGAACAGCAGAGGCACCCCAACTGAGAACATCGTGGGGATCCAGACAGGCCAACATGAGCCCTGGCTGATGGCTCCGGAGGGCTGTCAGGTGCTGCGGAGAGTGTTCTAGACGGAGGCACGTGGCTCAAATCCCTACCCTGCGTACAGCCAGGCTTGTACTGAGGGAAGGCCCCTGGGTTCCTCATGTGTAAAGTGGAGATAAGAACACAGCTGTGGCCATCGATGGTGAGGGCTGAATGGAACAGAGTATGGAAGCACCGAGCGTGGTGCCTGACCAATGGCATGCTGGCTGGCAGTAATAAAATAGCAAGAACCATCCCAGGGATCCCTAATGTTCACCAACAGTGTTCTGAATGCCAGGCACCCACCTAAAAGCTGGGTGCATCTTATCTCCTGTGTTCTTCATAATGATCTAGGAAAGTGCCATCGGATAGAACGTTCTGTGGTGATGGAATGTTCTAGAAATGCAATATCCCACATGGCAGCCACAAACCACATGTGGCCGTTGGGCACTTTACATGCAGTGGGTATGACTGAGGTGTTCCTTTACTTTGTATTGAATTCCACTCGTTTTAATTTGAAGAGCGCCCATATAGGTAGTGGCCTCCATACTGGTAAGTAACAGGTGCACCAGGCAGGCACTGGACAAGAGAACAGGGATGTAGGGAGAACCCACAGTGAGGAAGTGGTGTCCCTGATGTCTGCCCAGACATACTTGCTGGGTCCCTCCAGAGACAGGATTAGGGTGGTCAGGGAGAAAAGAGACATGCGCCCCCCCCTTCCTGGGGGCGCACCGCTCCATACCGGTTTGGGTGGGAGGAGGGCAGCATGAACTGGAATTCCACCACACAGGTGCCATCTGGGAGCTGCCGGTGCTGCAGGCTGTTTAACTCATAGGCGATGTAACCCCTCCGCACATAAACCTAATGAAGCAGAAGCACAGAAGACATTCTCTCAGGGGGCACTGCAGGGGCCCTCAGGACTGGAGACAGCTCTCTAAATGATCCCGAAGAAGCAGCAAAGAGCAAGTTTACTCACATTTTACAAGGTTATTTTCTTTGCAAAGGGCTTGATAGTACATATTTTATTGACTGACTGATTGATTTTAAGAGCAAGTGTGCACGCATGAGTGGAGCAAAGAGAGAGGGAGAGAATCCCAAACAAGCTCCAAGCTTTCAGCACAGACCCCAATGGGGGGCTCAAGCTCACGAACCCTGAGATCATGACATGAGCTGAAATTAAGAGTCGGATGCTTAACTGACAGAGCCACCCTAAGGGAGTAAATATTTTAGACTTCATGGGATATATGTAGGATCTCTGTCACAACTATTCAATTCTGTTGTTGCAGCCTGGAAGCAGCCAAGGACGATAAGTAAATGAATGGGGGTGGCTGTGTTCCAATAAAACTTTATTTATAAAAACAGGCAGTGGGCCAGACATGGGCCACAGGCTATGGCTTGCCAACTCGTGCTCTAGAGTGTGCCCTCCAGCAGAAATGCAACACGGCCATGTATGCAATTTTAATTTTAAATTTTCTAGTAGTCACTTAAAAAAAAGGTAAAATAAGTTTTTAAAAATCTATTTTAATAATAGATTTCGTTTCCTCCCCAATACTTAATGTAATGTCATTTCCACATGTAATCAATAGAAAAGGTATTGATACATTTGAAATTCTTTCTCCACACAAAGTCTTTGGAATCTAGTGTGCATTTTATACTTAGACCACCTCTCAACTCAGACGAGCTACGTTTCCAGTGTTCATTAGCTGTCTGTCGCCAGTGGCTACCAAACTGGACAGCACCCTTCTAGAGCTTAGACAGTGGGAGGCTTTTTGACTGAATAGGGAATATAAGAATTGTGCAGTAAGAGTTAACACAGCAGGCCTAACTGCTGTCCTTTGCAAGGCCATTGGCCAGCATCAGGGAACTTGGATTTGGGAGGGCTCCCACTATTCCCTGATAAAGAATGGTTCATGGCACCCAAGCTATACAATGATTTTATGCTGAACATATGCTTTCTTTCTGGGAGTTTAGAATTTAGTTACATACTAGGACCAGCCCCCAATAAAAGCCCCAGGCACCAAGTCTCTGAGCCTCATTTCAAACATGTTGTCATAACTCACTGCTTGAGGAATTAAAAGTGCCAGAGGAAGGCGCCTGGGTGGCTCAGTTGGTTGAGCGTCCAACTTCAGCTCAGGTCATGATCTCATGGTCCATGGGTTCGAGCTCTATGTCGGGCTCTGTGCTGACAGCTTTGAGCCTGGGGCCTGCTTCAGATTCTGTGTCTCCCTCTCTCTACCTTTCCCCCCTTGCACTTGCTCTCTTAAGAGATAATATTTTAATAAATATTAAAAAATAAATAAAGTGCTGAAGCACCTGGGTGGCTCAGTCAGTTGAGCATCTGACTTCGGCTCAGGTCATGATCTCATAGTCTGTGGGTTCGAGCTCTATGTCGGGCTCTGTGCTGACAGCTCAGAGCAGCTCAGAGCCTGCTTCCGGTCCTGCGTCTCCCTCTCTCTCTCTCTGCCCCTCCCCCACTCACGCTCTGTCTCTCTCTCACAAAAATAAATAACCATTTTTTACAAATTGCCTACAGGACCCACTGGAGGGCTTTACTTGGTGTCCTCTGGACGACACCTCACACACTTTGTCCCTTTGCTGACTGTACTTTGGGTCCTTTCGCTCTAACAAATCACAGCCACAAGCAGGCCTATCTGCTGAGCGCTGGGCTTCTTCCGAGTGAATCATCGAACCTAGGAGGGGCTTGGGGACACCCACACATTTTAGCAGGAACAAAACTCCGCATCACAAAGACCAAAGAAAAATGTAACATTCAAGATGCTCATCTTGAGTCACAGGGAAGAGGTGGGATTATGCTCAATACACCCGCGGAGCAAGGTGATAGAATGCTCAAAGAGCTCTGGAAAATTCTCAAACGGGAAAAAAATGGGATTTAGCGCTCCAAAAAGCAAAGAAGGTGGGCTGCTGCTTTCCACCTGACAGAGGACCCCCCCCCCCCAATAGGACAGGTATTTGGGTAACAAGCACCAAGTTCTCACTGCAGGTGCTTACTCATTTGTCTTCCAACAGCCCTGTGTCCCCGCTACAGCACAAGAATCTAAATGCCCAGAGAAGGAAAGCAACTGGCCAGAGGTCACACAGCTGGGGACTTCGCACAGACTGTTCCCATTGACTGAAACCTCTCTGCTTCTTCCGACCAATTCCGACTCTCTCTTAGCTGCCTGCTTTCGTATCACTTTCTCATCCAGGTGTGAGCTGAGCCTCCCGGGAAGGTTAGATTCTGCTGTGCGATTCCCTGCAGGACCGTTTTTTTCCCAGGGCAGCCCTACCGCCTGGGTGACTAAGGAAGTATTTAGTGTGTGTGTGTCTCCCCAGCAGACAGGAAGTCCATCAGGGCAGAGGCTGGCCCCCTGTGCTGCATCCCCAGTGACTGACCCACAGCGGGTCTCAATATAGGTGAAGACTGGAAAGAGGGGGAGAAAGGTACTTAAGGGCGCTACCTGGTCTCAGTGCCGGAAACGGGGAGCCCGGAGAAGGATGCTGTGAGCTGAAACCGGCGCGGAGGTAAAGGCTGCAGGCCCAGGAGACGCTGCGGCCGTCACGTCACATACTCAACAAGCCCAAAACGGTCTCCATGGAGACCCAGTCAACCTTCTAGCACTAGGATGGGTGACCACGGGGTCTAAAAGGTGGCAGAAGAGGGAGTGGGGACCACAGGGGACCGAGACTCCAAGATCAGAGAGTTTTGCTGGTGGTCATGCTGCTTCTCTGCCCTATCAGGGCAGGGGACAGGGAGGTCGCCTTCAACTGTCACCCAGGTTCCTTCCTGCTTTCATGGTACCAAACAGACAAGGCTTCTAAAGGTATCAGGGATACAGGGAATCAGATGCAGGGAATCAGAGTTTGCACAGGTGCCCTGGCTCTTGGTGGTTAGTATTTAAACGTGCCCTGCCTGGATGAGGCTGGAATGGCACCCGAGATGACAGGCGTTACCGGCAAGGGCCCTGGACAGACACCTCGCGAGATCCTGGTTCTGCCACTCCCCTGCTGTGGGACCCTGAGCCAGTCGCTCCACCTCTCTGAGCCTCAGTGCCCTTCTCTGTGAGACGGGCATAGTAACAGTACCTCCCTTGTGGAGAGAAGGATAAGGTCCCGTTCGCGAGGCGCATGGCCCGGGCCAGGCGCCCAGCAGGCGGGCGGCGGACGTCAGCACTGCCAAGTTCACTACGGGTGCCGTCACCGGGGCCTCCCTCCTACTTACCTCCAAGGACGCCATGCAAACGACCTTGTTAGTGTGGTAGAAGAAGGTGGGCAGGACGTCGAATATGGTCGTCTCTGAGAGTATTAATTTCTACAGGATGGGAAGGAGGAAAAAAAGGGAATGTTACCAAGTTTTCGCCAGGATGAGTGGAGGGGTGGGTGCAGGGAGGGGAAGCCGGCAGGGGTGTCTTCTCCACAGAATCTGCCAGTGCTCCAGGCCTGCGGATCTGAAAGCGGAAGCCGTTCTGGGAGGATCACACCCGGGGCCCTCCATTCCAGGTGCAGAGGGGGTACCTGGAGGCCTGCAAATGATCCAAAGTTGGGGGCTGGGGGAGCCCAAAAGATGAAGCCATGACAGCCTTGTGAGTGTTCATGGTTTCTAGTAAGCTCCATCACATCTGAGTTTTTTAAATTGCACCCCGTGGGACGCCTGGGAGACTCAGTTGGCTAGGCGTCCGACTCTTAATTTCGGCTCAGGTCATGATCTCATGGTTCGTGAGTTCAAGCCTTGCGTCAGGTTCTGAGCTGCTGGTGCGGAGCCTGCCTGGGAGTCTCTCTCTGCCCCTCCCCTGCTCACTCTCTCTGTCTCAAAATAAATAAACTCAAAAAACTAAATAAAAACTGGGGTACCTGGGTGGCCGAGTCAGCGAAGCATCCAACTTCAGCTCAGGTTTATGAGTTCGAACCCCGCATCGGGCTCTGGGCTGATAGCACGGACCCTGCTTGGGATTCTCTCTCCCTCTCTCTCTGCCCCCCCCCGCCTCTCCCCCCTCTCAAAAATAAACATTTATAAATAAATAAAATATAAGTAGATAAATAAGTAGAAATATAAATAAATAAATATATAAATAATAACAACTGCACCTCGCCTTGCTCCTCATGCTCTCTGTGCATCCTGCAGGACTGAATCTCTCTCAGGCTCCCGATGTCCTGGGCAGCCCCGGCCACACTGGGATGAACTGCTGGCATTTATTTGCAACTGTGCTCTGAACACAGGTGCCCACCCCTGGAGGGCATGTGGAGCCTGCCTCCCCGAGGCCTCACTTGGGCCACAGTGTGAGCTCTATGGAAGGCGGAAGGTGGATGGGAGCCTCACCTTGAGGTTGTCCGGGCAGAACTGGTGGCCGTACATGTCAATGGCAGACAGAAAAATGGACTCCACCTGGTTGTGCCTTAGCTCGTAGGATGGGAGGTGGGAGGCAATGAGGACCTGCAGGGGGCAGGGACAGAGAGCTGGGGTAAGCCAACCTTACAGGGGAGAAGCCAGGAGTCAGGACGAGGGATGGCAGCAGAGGGGCCGCGCAGGGTGTTGGTGTGTGGGGCGGGCAGGATGGCTCCCCACGGCCCTACCTGTCTTGCTCTGAGGGCCACTTTGCAATGCTCGCTTTTGCTCAGCTGAGTGAGCTCATTGAGGATGGAGGTCAGCTCTTCTGACAGGGAAGGGTCTGGGCCACAGAGCTCATCCTGGGAGGGACACAAACATAGAATCCAAATGGCTTTTCTCCACCGGAAGGAAAAACACCAGCCCTCACCCACAGCCGGGGCGTGCGCTGCCCCCATGAGCCAGATGGCTCAGCTCTCTGCACATCCCTGGCACAGCCTGATGATCTCACCCTTAACCATGTCTACCATGTACCCCCCATCCACCCCTGATATGCCCTAAACACCTGCCAGCATGAAAAATACAGCTAAGTCTCTACCTACATCACCATTAACAGCTGGCCATTATCTGGTATTTAATGTGTGCCAGGCGAGGAACTACACCCTTTACAGTCATTTCCCCCAATTCTCCCACCCCTCTGAGGAATTACATCATGACGTCCATTTTACAGATGAGGAAAGTGAGGCTCAGAGGCCACCAGGCCTGGGCAAAGCAGAGCTGAGGCTTTGCCTTCCTCTCTACACTGGTGCCTGACTTAAGGCGTTCACAGGTGCAGACAAGAGGGATAAGGGGAAACAGTCTGGTACAAACAAAGAATAGGGTTCACATGGGATGCCCTCATGAGGGTGTGGTAAGCCACCCTCTGGGGGTCCCCTGGGGGAGCATTCCAGCTCTGGGGGCTCAAGGGCAGCTTCCTGCAGGAAGGAGGATCTGAGTTGCAGAAGTAGAGGGGTGACCATTCCATGCGCATCCCTTCCCCTGCTTCTGAATGAGAGACCTGCTTGCTAGAGACCTGGGCCGTGCGCACCTGCCCCGGGCATTTCCTCCTTGCGCTCGAAACGCAAAAGCAGCTTAGGAATGGCTTAGAGCAGGTGTTCCCTAAATGCTCTCTGAAGACAAATCAGTGACTGCTGGGAGTCTCCGTGCCCCAGCAACTTGCCCCCACCCCCGCCTCAGCCCAAGCTGCTTTCCAAGAAGTCACCGGATGGTGGCGCCATGGGTTCTTTCCTCTACATCTGCCTCTGCACCTCCCTAATGAGAATGAGCCTGCTCTGTTTCTATGATCAGAACATTTCTAGCGCATTAACATTGCACACATGGACACAAGCACACGATCGCAGTGAAGCTGACAAAATCCCACAGGAGATTATTCTAAACCTTCTCTCCCTCCCTGTTAGTGATTTATTTTAGCAACCAAGACCCCCCGGGGCGCCAGGCGGCTCTGTTGGTTGAGTGTTAGATTTTGGTTCAGGGCATGATCTCGCGGTTCATGAGATCGAGCCCCATGTTGGGTTCTCTGCTGTCAATGCAAATGCAATGTCAATTCGGATCCTCTGTTTCGCTCTCTCTGCCCCTCCCTGCTTGTGTGCCCTTTCTCTCTCTCTCTCAAAATATAAACATTAAAAAAATAAAGAAAAGAAACGAAGACCCCTTAAAGACTCAAAAAATTTCATTTCAAAGTCATCCTTCAGTTAACAAGTCCTTTCGGAAAGTGTCCTAGGCACCAAATACCGTCAAATGCAAAGAACTCATCATTTTCAATAAATATTTTTAAGTGGCTTCTCTAGGGAGTGTAATATACATCCCTTAATTCTTTACAGTTTGTACGTGCAGTGCTAAAATATTAACTCTAAATAATGTAGAAACTTTGCAGACATTTTCAATAAGTAAAACCAAGAGAATAAGGATCTTGCACATCCCCACGCTGCAGCTGGTACGACATTTTCAGCTGCCTTCACCGAGAAGCCCCAGAGAGCGAGTGTCCTAGCTCTTTGCTCTGGGGGCCACCCCAACGGGGCTATCCTCTGATGTACCTAATTTTTAGGTCTTTCATGCCCAGAAGAGAGCCAGGATCTACACAAAAAGCAGCCAACAGCAGCCTCCACCCCCACCCCCCTTCTAAACAGGAGCAGATGGTAACAGATAACAGGCATGCCTTTGGGCGTAAATCCCCAATCCTGGCCACACACTGTAATCTCTCAGGGAAGTTCTCCCTCCAAACTTAATTTAGAAGAATTTCAAAAACTGCACAAGAATTGAGGATCAGTATGTTGAAAACCCCTATAACGATGGTCCAGATTTTCTAGCTGTCAAACTTTGCCTATATGACCACATCTGCTTTTTCTCTAGTAAGTCCACACGCACGCATGCGTACACGTGTGTGCGCACATATTCTTATTTCTGAAAGTCGGCTACAGACACCATGATCCTTCCCACTAAGAATATACCTCTTGGGTGGCTCAGTCAGTTGGGCATTGGACTTCAGCTCAGGTCACGATCTCCGAGTTCGTGAGTTCGAGCCCCACATCAGGCTCCTTACTGATCGTGCAGAGCCTGCTTGGGATTCTCTCTCCCCCTCCCTCTCTCTCTCTCTCTCTCTGCCCCCCTACCTCAAAATAAACAAACTTAAAAAAAAATGTAGCTCCTTGAGAAAAAAAGATCTCCTGGCTAACTAAAGAACCATTAAAACAGCCAAGAAATTAAACGTTTAATTGATAATATTAAATAATGTGCAGCCCACAGTGAAGTTTCCCGCTGAGGAAGCTTTCAGAAAGGACTAATGCCTGGTCCACATCCCCAGAAAGCCTGATTTAACTGACCAGAGGTGGGGCAAGGGTGTCTGTATTTTTGAAAAGTTCCCCTACACTGGCCCCAGGAGGTTCTCATGTGCAGCTAAGATTAAGAGAGCCTCAGGCTGCACTAGGAGATTTCAGAAGGATTCTTTACAAAAATATCAGTATTTATGAACCCATCTTGTTAAGGTGTTAACTATCCTGTAAGCCTAGGCCCAAATTTGGTTCATTGTCCATTTTTGTACATAAAGTGGGTTAAAAGAAATTTTTTTAACATTTACTTTTTTTTTTTTTTGAGAGAGAGCATGAGTGGGGTAGGGACAGATAGAAAGAGGGAGACACAGAATCTGAAGCAGGCTCCAGGCTCTGAGCTGTCAGCATAGCTGTGCTCGAGCTGTGCTCGAACTCACAAAGGGTGATGATATCCTGACCTGAGCTGATGTAGGACGCTTAACGGACTGAGCACCCCAGCACCCCATAAATAAAGTTTTACTGGCACACTGCCACACACATTCACTTATGTACAGTCCATGGCTTTATTCACGCCACAACAGCAGAGCTGAATTGTTGCAACAAAGGCTGCATGGTTCTTAAGGCTAAAATAGTTACTATCCTTACCAAAAAAAAAAAATCTGTCAGCTCCTTTTGGCTAAAACCAAGTCCAGATCTCCTACTATCTGCTGACCCTACATTTTCCAGGTGAGTCGTGTCAGAGGCCATATTAAGGAAAAAAATCTTGAGCTATCAGGGATGCTAATTATCATCTAGTAGGAAGAGAAATAAGAGCAAAGAAATTCCCTGCTTCTCCAAGAAGGCAAAATAAAAGTCCTACCAGACTCTGAATCCAATATCCCCTGATAACCACGACTCTAGGGCCGGGCTATGGGTTCCAATCCCAGCTCTGCAGTAAGAAGTTGGGTGCCCTTGGGAAAGCGACTTCACTTCCCTGTGCTCTACCAAAGCGGAAGTGAGAACAGTATGCACCTTCTAGGCTTGCTGAATTCAAGGAGTATTTGTAAAGCATGTGAGGGGTGCCCGGCACATAGTAGGTGCTCTGTGAGTGTGAGTCACGATTTCATCCAGGGGCTGACAAATCCCACCCGCTGCCTGGCTTTATATTATAAACAAAGTTTTATTGGGACACAGCCATGTGCATCTTCAGGTCCTGACATCATACCAGGTCAGGACAGAGACCGCGTGACCAGCCAAAGCTAAAATATTTATACTGCGGCCCTTTCCAGAATATCCGTGGACCCCGAGCCTCTCCCACTGTGAGTACAGGGTGCCCTTTCCTGCTTACGATCAACATGATCACCAGCTGGTTCTTCTTGGCCACCTGAGCGTGGGAAAAGATACAGTCCAACACCTGGGACATGTTTGGCTTCAGCTCCTCTCTGAGGTTGATCACGCACTTGTCGTAGTGAGCTAGAGGGAGACAGAGAGGGTGAGGCTCGGCCACCCCCCCCACCCCCCCGGACACTTGTCACTGGTGCTGGTGGTGACCCTTGCCTTGTTGGAAGTGGTGCTCCACCTGTAAGTATCTTCTCAGGAGATCCAACACCACTGCCTTCATGTAGCCGCGGGTCCCCCTGCGGTACCTGCGGGGGAAGGCGAGGCTGCTTGAACCATCAGTCCCACTTCCCAGAGTGCCTGGGTCTACAGTTGGGGCTTTCAGGACTTCCAAAAGGAGAAAACACTAATCAAGTATCTGGAGGCTGTATTCCTTAATCCTCAAGCCAGGGAGGGATGTGTGAGTGAGTTCGTTTGCACTAACTCTGTAGCCCAAAGACAGCCGTGACTTGCCCAAGGTCCTACATGAAGCCAGAGTCCAAGCCTGAGCCTCTGGATGGCACCAGCCCGTCCCCAGAGAGAAGAGACAGGATGCTGGGAAGGGTCAGCCTTGCGTGTACAGCTGAAAACAAAAATGACTGACCACCGTAGGTATAAAGATAGCTTGAAAAATACGTGAAACTTGAGAGACATTTACTGATGGATCCTTATGTAAATTTCACTTCCCTTTGATTGTTTTTCTTTATATTTATTTTTGAGACAGAGAGAGAGCAGGAAAGGGGCAGAGAGAGGAGAGAATCCCAAGCAGACTAAGCACTGAGCACATTAGGCATCACAGAGCCTAATGTGGGGCTCGAATCCACAAACCGTGAGATCTTGACCCGAGCCAAGATCAAGAGCCAGATGCTTAACCGAATGAGCCACCCAGGCGCCCCCTTGCTTCTCTTTTAAAAACCAAATTTTAACCTGGATGTTCCCTAAAACATTTTCTCTTCTAAATCATTTCTGCACACAGGGAACAGAAGAATTCCTTAAGGGATGTGACACTGAGTTTCAAGGGCGTTGAGACCAGTTTAAACCCCAGGGTCACCTAAATGACAACAAAAGAAAGAACCTAAAACATGCACTTATTCAAATGTGATTTTTTTAAGTGTTTAAATTTTTGAGAGAGAGTGAGAGGGGGGAGGAGAGAGAGAGACAGAGAGAGAAAGAGAGAGAGAGAGAGACAGAATCCGAAGCAGGCTCAGGCTCAGAGCTGTCAGCACAGAGACCGACGCGGGGCTGGAACCCACGAACGGTGAGATCATGACTGAACTGACTGAGCCACTCAGGTGCCTTATCTACCTACCTCTATCTACCACCTTTCCTTTTCTTTCCTTCCTTCCTTTCTTCCTTCCTTCCCTCCTTTTTACCAAATGTGATTAAAATATATATATATGTATACATATATACACACACATACATATGTATACATATATATATATATACACACACACACATATATATATACATATAACCAAGTTTTGAGGGGCACGTGGCTGGCTCAGTTGGTAGAGCACGCAACTCTGGATCTCGGGGTTATGAGCCCCACATTGGGTATAGAGATAACCTAAAAAAATAAATTAAATTAAAAAATCCCAGAGCTTTGATATTTAAATTTAACACAAAAAAAGCTGCTAGGGAATTTAGCTAATTTATCGTTTGGTCATTTTCTCCTAGGTGTTTCTCTGCAGCTAAAGGCTGGGTTTAAGGTTAGCGGTCAAAGTGTTCCGGGGAGGGTCTCCCCTCCTAGTGCTTGGCTGTGAAACTCTTTTCGTGGGGGTCCACACAAAGCACCCTTTGTCAGCTCAATCCTGCGTGGGCAGTCTGCATCCCCATGGGCCCAGGAACTACCTGAAAAGAAGGGCCGTCTCCTAGGGTCCCACGTCTCTGTGCCTCTAATAGTTTCCAGCAGGTGGTAAACGTGCTTCATCTCCTCCAGTTTAAACATGTTTGGATTCTGTCTTTACAAGCAAAGCTTTCTTGCGAGGTCGTTTTCACACAACATGGCCGTTCTTCCTGTCATTAGTTCTCATGGCTCAAAAGCTACTCAAAATAAATATTCTCGGGGCGCCTGGGGGGCTCAGTCAGTCAAGCGTCTGACTTCAGCTCATGATCTCATGAGTTTGTGGATTCGATCTCCGCACTTCGGGCTCTGTGCTGACAGCTCAGAGCCTGGGGCGTGTTTCAGATTCTGTGTCTCCCTCTCTCTCTGCCCCTCCCCCACTCGTGTGTGCACATGCTCTCTCTCTTTCTCTCTCTCAAAAATAAACATTAAAAAAAAATCTTCATCAATTCTCCTCTGCAATGATTTCCAAACCACAATGATAATCGGTATAGTCCTTTATAAAGCCAATAAAACCAATAAAACCGCTATATTCCATTGTCATATAGTCAAAGCTACCCTAAGTATGTGCTGCGTGTCAGTACTTTACAAAATTAATCCACTTGTAACTCGGAATGACTTCCTGTGAGTGGAGCGCCTTTATTCCTATTTTACAAACTGGTGACCTGAGGTCATGGGAGAAAAGGGTCTTGCTGGGAGCTCCCGGGGTTAGAAGTAGCTATGCCAGGATTGAAATCAGGGTCCCTGGATCCCATGGGCTGCCTCTTGGCTTAAGAGAGCCCCAGATGGTGCAATACACAATCAGAGTGCCCACCACACCCCACGGAGGGCCCAGGACTCACCTCTGGACCAACTGCACAATGCTCTGGGTGTTCATGAAGAAAACCTCCCGGTCAGCCTTCCGCTGCAGGGTGGCCGCATGGCAGTCCAGGATACTGGCTATCTGGAGGGGCAGACAGGTCAGGTCTGACCACTCATTGCCTCGCAGAAGTCACCACAAGGACCCACCGTGGGCTCACACGGAGGACCCATTCAAGGCTCATTCAAAAACTGTAAATTTCTTGGGCACCTGGGTGGCTCAGTCAGTTGAGCGTTCACCTTCGGCTCAGGTCATGATCTCATGGTTCGTGAGTTCGAGCCCCACGTCAGGCTCCATGCTGATAGCTTGGAGCCTGGAGCCTATTTCAGATTCTGTGTCCCCCTCTCTCTCTGTCCCTCCCCTGCTCGCTCGTGTGTTCACTCGCTCTCTTTCTCTCAAAAATAAACATTAAAAACATTTTTTAATCAAAAATTTCAGCTCCAGAGCTCTCTGGCCACCAGCTGTTTGTCCCTGTCAAAATTGCTTGAGGAATTCAAGAGCTTAGAAATGACAACAATCCCAAAATGACCCGTCTATTACTCCTCTACAGAAATATGAGTGCTCTGGGGAAAGGGAAGGGAATTTCCAACCCCAGGGAAAATGAAGGTGCTGGGTGGGGGTCTTGTTTTTATAACTAGATTTAGTGGTATTAAGATATTGCTTTTGGCAACAAAAAAATATTTTTAATGAAAAAAATCTACACCAACAACAAATTCCTAAAAGGTCCAAATACATACTTTTCTCAACTGGGGTTCTTTAGAGTTATGTTTTGGTTTTTTTCAGCCAAGATATCATTCACATACCACGGTATTTCCCCCTCATTCATTTATTTTTTTAAGGAGGCTCCACGCCCAATGTGGAGCTTGAACTCATGACCCTGAGATCAAGAGTCGGATGCTCTATGGAATGAGCCAGCCAGGCATCTCCATCACCTTTAAAACATTTTTTTAAATGTTTTATTTATTTCTGAGAGAGACACAGAGACAGAATGCAAGTGGGAAAGGGGTGGGGAGGGTCAGAGAGAGGAGGAGACACAGAATCTGAAGCAGGCTCCAGGCTCTGAGCTGTCAGCACAGAGCCCGACGCGGGGCTCAAACCCATGGACCGTGAGATCACGATCTGAGCTGAAGCCACACGCTGAACTGACTAAGCCACCCGGGCGCCCCTCTCCCACCTTTAACGTATGCACCTAATTCAGCATTTCTCAGTCTATTCAGAGTTGTGCCACTATTTGCCACTATCTAATTTGAGAGCATTTTCATCATCACAGAAGGAAACCCGATAAGCATTTAAAAACGTGTGGATCCCCCTCCCCCGGCCCTGGCCACTCCTAATCCACTTTCCGGCTCCAGGGATTCACCTGGTCTATGGAATTGTGGAACAAGTGGTCTTTGGTGCCTGGCTTCTTCCACTCAGCATGTTCCAGGCTCACCTATGCCACGTATAAACCCGTATTAGCTGCCTTTTTGCAGTGGAACGTTATTCCAGCCTGTGGAGTGGCTGACCTCCAGCTCCCCAAATCATGACCATGTGGGTGGGGGGAACCATGACGGCATGAAGCCCTTCTAACCAGACATGGGCAGGTTCGCCCAAATGCAAACTGCCTTTAAAATGCTTAATAAGAGAAAAAAAATCAGGCCACCATAGAATTATTAGAGATATTTTATACTACCGGGGAATGCCTTCCATTACTTAAAAATGTTGCGTATACATAGGGCCCCAAGACGATGGACGATGGCCTTTACAAACCCCAGAGGGAGAAACTCAAAGCTACGGTCTCGCCAGAAAAGCCCACACTGCCTGTTTCAGCCAGGCCAGGTGTGGAAAACGCCCCCTGCATCTGTACCCACTGCTCGCTTCTGAACCCGAGTTCTACGGAGTGAGGCCCCCTAACGGTGTTCATGTAAACAACTGTTGCTTTGGAGACTGTGGTGGGTTCTGCAGAGAAGGGCTCCAAAGGAAACTCTCAGCCCCCAATACCGTGGGTGCTTGATCAGAGGCCGCGGCGACCAGGAGCTGCATTCCCCTGGTGGCGCCTGGGGGTACCCTGGTGGGGCCGGGGTCGGGGGGAGAGGGGAGCACGTACCTGCTGGCTGGGGAACTGGCAGAGCACCGAGGTGATGTTGCTGGCGTACTGAGCCATCACCCTGCGGACCGACTTTTCCACGGGGGCGGGGATGCGGCCTGACACACTGGTCATGATCTCCTGCAGCTCCAGCAGTGGCAGCGAAGGGTGCCGGAGGGTGGCCATGAGCTTCTGCACCCACTCCTTCAGCTGAAGCAGGGACCACCGCGTCAGCCTGAGGCACTGCGGGGGCAGGGGCGACCCCACCCTCCACCAGGCACCAGGCACGCACCATCCAGGCCCTGCACCCAAGGAGCCAAAGAACTAGACGCAGCAGCTTCTAGAACAGCCCTGGGTGCAACGGCCCCCTGACCACTAGGGGAAGGAATACTCCATTTCCCCACACCCTTCTCTCCACGCATCCAGACAGGCAGCATGGCCACGGGCTATGACACGAGGTCACATGAAGAGTTAACACCTGTGGACACTTGCCCGGGGCCAGACACTGCTCTAAATCTTTTATTTGTCCGTTCCCCTTCGATCCTCGCAAATAACCTGACAAAGTAGGTATCATCACTATTCCCATTTTATAGTTGAGACACGTGAAACAGAGAGGCTGAGTGAGTTATCCGAAGTCACCCAGCTAGGGAGAAGCAACCTCAGGCCATCAAGCTCCAGGGACTCTTAACAGCTGCACTACACGGCCCCTAAGGGTCCCAGCAGCCCAAATGTTGAAGGTATCTGAACGACAGGGGTAAGAGCGCTGATGCCACACATGTTGGGCGGTTCAGAAATGAAAGAAGGCACACACGCGAGTGCAAAGGCTAAGCAGGTGTCATGATAGCGATCGCGATCAGGCAACGTGGCACGGGAGTTAAGAGCATGGACCCTGAAACCAGAAGGTCCGTGTTCAAGTCCAATCTGATCTTTTCCATGGATGAAGGAGGACAAGTTTCTGAGCCTCTCTGGGTCTCAGTTTCCTTACCTGTAAAGTGGAAATAACACCCAAGGTGGCTGGGAGGATGAAATGACTTGATACATTCCCAGTGGTAGTTGGCACACCGTACGTACTAGACAAGGGTTGGCCACGAATACCACCACCCTGTCACCTGCATCGTCACTGCCACCACCACCGTCAGCACTAACATTACCACCAGCACCACCACCGGCACCACCACTAACGTGGTTTGCTGCTCTGAGATAGAATGAGACGCACGATGTTAGAACTACTGATGATGAATTTAGCATCGTGGATCTTTCACAGAAGTCTGCACATGTGAAAGCTCGTTTCTCTACAGAGTTAAGGAGGCAGCGGGCCCCTGGAATGATGAACAATGAACGGAGTGTGACTCTGAACAAAGCGCCTTCCTCCTTCTCGGGGGGACCCACACGGACTCCTTTCTTAACATGCTGTTCGAACATGCCCCGCGATGCAATGAATGGAACCACGATAGCGTTTACAACAGCTCAGCAAAATCAAAAGGAAACATACACCGATGTTTACGATCAAACTGAGGACGTTCCTGAGAAGAGGTCCTTTGTAAAAAACAGAGGACTGGCCGTTTTTCCATTCCTTCCTTCAGTAAAGACCTGGGAGCTCATGGAATAAACCCTTCTGGCTCTTCACACGGACCTGCACACACATGCAGAATACGTACCTACCCTTCGCACATGACCTACCTTCGTGCTAAAAATGGGCTCCGGCAGACAGTAGCCATTCATGACGTTGGTCAGGTTCTCCAGGACGTTGTGGAAAACCTGGTGTAGTTTCTCTCCGACGATGGGCAGAGTTTGCTGCGGAGGGAGCTCCCCCGTGAACGGCTTGGCCTGAGGAGATACAGCAAGAACCAGAGTTCAAAGACACCTGCCTCCCGAGCGAGCCAAGATAAAACGAGGGGTGAGGCAGATCAACCAGTACACGATATTGTTAGGATGAAGCCTGAAGGAAAAAGAGCAAAAAAACCCAGAAGACATAGTATTGGAGGGTCAAAATTGCTACTCACACCCCGATACTCGTTTCCCAAATCCACCCCCTTCATCGTGAAGGCCATAGTCTGTTGTTGGGGCTGCCCCGTGATTCTGGAGGAGATCAGAGTCTTCTGTTTGGCTCTGCTTTCTAATCACAGTGCTCTCCCTATTTTCCCTATTTATTTTCAGTCTTTATCGAATCCCAGAAATAAACACCTAGCAGGATGGAAACTTAATGAAAGGCTCATGCAAACGTCCTGGCTTTTTGTAAATCGTAAACCAAAACACGCAAAGTCCCCCAAGGGTCCACCCTGACCGCACCTGCCCATTCACAGACTCGTTCATTCTACAAATGTCCACTAGGTGCCTATTACGTGCAGCCCTGAGACCCAGGAGGTTGGGAACAAGCAGTTCCGCTGGCCTGGAACCTTCCGCTTCCTGCCCCCTCCGCTGCCCCACCCTGCGGGCTCCTCTCATCCTTGGAGATCAATCAGAGGGTTTCGTTCTCCACGGTCTGGTGTTGGCTCTCCAGCTGGGCCCACAGCGGGGCCAAGGGCAGTCCCTCTTCCTGCACTTTGCGGTGCCGAGTGACACCAATATAAGATGGTAACAATGGGAAAACTGGGTGCAAGGTATATAGAAACTCTCTGTACCACCTTTCAAAATTTCTTGTAAATATAAAACTAAAATAAAAATCTATTAAAAATATTAAAAGGTGGTCCAGAAAGCCCTCACTGCGGGGGGGTGGGGGAGGGGGTATGGACGGGGATGACGCTTGAGGAAATGTTTACAAGCGGTGAGAGGGTGAGCCCTGAAAACGTCTGGGGGAAGGTTCTTCTGGGCAAAGGGAGCACGTCCCAGGTGGAAGGTTCTGGCATGTTCGACGAAACAAGGGGGCAAAGAAATGTGGAGGAAAAGCAAGGCAGGGACAATACCATTAGGGTCTTGCGGGTTATCAGAAGAAGCTGCGTTTGACCCTGAGTGGGTCATTGAGGAGCTGCTGGGAGGGGTAGAAGCAAAGGTGGGCATGTTTCGCGCCCACCGTGCCGCTGTGGGGGGGGGGGGGGGGGGGGGGGCCCCNGCCCCCCATTGCGGGGGGGTGGGGGAGGGAGGGCTCCCGGGGGCTGGGCGGGAGTCACAAGTCTGAGGCCAGCTCGGCTCCCTGAACGGGCAGAGCCAGCCAGGGTGGCTGTGCTGCGGTGGGCATACCGGGTGCACTTTGGAAGGGTCATCCAGCTCCAGCCGGGCCACCACACAGCCTGCTTCCAGCACGGCCCCCGGGCGCTTGACGTACTTCACGTGGCCGCTTTCCTGCACGTTCAGGGTCATGATCATCTTCATCAACTGTTTTGCAGAAGACAGAAACGAGATGAGCTCACCAGGACTGGCTCCAGAACCGGTATTTAGGAGCAGGGACTTGGTCGTTTAAAGAGAACGACTCTCTCTGAGCAGAGTTCATGTGTAAAGAGTGGAGGGAACGTGCATTTGCCAGAAGCCTGCCGGGCGCCGGGCTCTGTGCTGTTGATGAATGATCTCCATCTGCAAAGCCAGCTGGGAAGGCAGGCGTTTATTGTGCCCATTTTACAGGCATGGAAACTGATCTTTTTTTTTAAATTTCTTTTCTATTTTCTTTTTTTTAAGTTTATTTACTTACTTTTAAGAGAGAGAGAGAGCAAGGAAGGGGCAGAGAGAGGGAGAGAAAGAATCCTAAGCAGGCTCCACACTGTCAGTGCAGAGCCTGATGTGGGGCTCAGACTCATGAATTAAGAGATCATGACCTGAGCCAAAATCAAGAGTTGGACACTTAACGGACTGAGCCACCCAGGCACCCCCAGAAACTGATCTTTATTCGTGAAGTAAAGCTTCTTAGAAATACAGTTAAATTGTTATTACGTGGGAGTGATTAACAGGCGTATTCTGAAAACACGGTGAATTTTGTGACCAGCTCCTTTCTTAAAGGCAGTGAAAAAACCCTCAGGGGAACACTCGGTGGAATGAAGAGCGTGCTTCCAGGATGGTCACCAGCCCCTTTAACTGGCCTGACAGTCTGCCATCACAGACATGGTGAATTTTGCTACTGTGCCATGGGCTGCAGACAGTCAGCACTGGAATCCTTTAAGTCAGCGGCTCACAGCCTGGGCACCCGAGACAGACCTGGGCTCAGGTGATCACTCTGTGATCTCCAGCAGGTGCCTTGCCCTCTCTGAGCCTCACTTTCCCCAACTGTAAAATGGGGAAGAACAGCAGTCTCGCCTCAGAGGGCTCTGACAAGGATTACTCAAGAAGAGGGGCCTGGCACATGGTGGGAGGTGCGCAGACGTCATCTCCTACAGCTGCTGCATTTTCGCTGCCATTATCATTTACCTTGGCGGCGTGGAATGGAGGCCAGGTGTGAACCCTAGCTAGCTCTGTGTGACCTTGAGTGAGTTCCTTAGCCTGCCTGGCCTGTTTCTTCATGGGTACAGTGGAAATCCTCTATGCCCATCTCCTAGGATCGCCGGAAGGATTACAGAACGTAATGAAAGACAAGTAAAATGCCCACAATAAGCACTTTATAAGTGTTGCCTTACGGCTTTTTATTTATTCTTTTAATGTTTTTTATTTTTTTTTTTTTTTTCCTGAGACAGAGAGGGAGTGTGAGCAGGGGAGGGTCAGAGAGAGAGGGAAACACAGAATCTGAAACAGGCTCCAGGCTCTGAGATGGCAGTCAGCACAGAGCCCGATGCAGGGCCCGAACCCACGAACTGTGAGATCATGACCTGAGCTGAAGTCGGACGCTCAACCGACTGAGCCACCCAGGTGTCCCGGCTTAACGGCTTTTTAAAATCATCATCATCATCATCATCATCATCATTATTATTATTATTATTAATCAGTTCTTGGGGCCCCTGGGCGGCTCAGTCAGTTAAACGTCTGACTCTTGACTTCGGCTCAGGTCATGATCTCACAGTTCGTGAGTTCGATCCCCACATCGGGCTCTGTGCTGGCAGCGCGGAGCCCACCTGGGATTCTCTCTCTCCCTCTCTCTCTGTCCCTCTCGCACTTGTTCTCTCGCTCTCTCAAAATAAGTAAAAATAAACTTTAAAAAAATCAGGTCTCATTCGTTCCTGCAGAGTGTACATTTTTGAGGTTTTCCCTTTGAATACCGCAGAGAAGTTGGGCTGAACCCCACACACTGGCTCTCTGAGGAATCAGCATGTGGCCCAGGGGAGAGGCGCAGACCCAATGATGGCGGAGGGCCGTCCCTCGGGGAGCGGCGGGAGGGGAGGCCTGGCCGCAGCCCCAGCCCAGGGGCCTGCTCTGTGCTCACCTCCATCTCCGCGTAGCTGCTCCCAGCCTCGACGTGGCCCCCATCCTCCACCGTGTACTGCGTTAGCTTCCCAGCAGAAGGGGATCTCAGGACCGTGGGATCGTTCTCTTTCTCAAACACACAGGTCTTGTTGCCGATGGTAATGCGGTAACTGGCAGAGAGGAGGGGGCCGGCGGGTAGATTGGGGAGAACCATCAACCCAGCATGCCCAAGTCAGGCTTCTGACAGTACTTCCCCTTCCTAAGGGCAGCCGTGAGCATCACCCTGCACATGGTCTGTTGGGATTCCAACCTTCCCAAATGCTAGCCTTTGACAGTTACGGGGGAGATAACGGGGAATGAACTGGGTGAGACAAAGGTGTGACCCTTTTCTGGCTGAAAATGAGTGCCTTTTACGGATATAATTCTAACTGGCACAGAGAAAGCAATCAATATTATTCGATAAATATTTATCAACGGTTAAGTCTTCACCTTATAACTGAACTGGGGAGAGTATGCCCCTGGGTGGAGCCTCTAACAATCTTGAATATTCTTGGCAGACAGAACACGGCTTTAAAAGAGGTAATAAAACAGTGCTCTGGCTGGAGTGAAGCTAGTCTGTCTTCTTCCCAAACTTCGAAGACTGGGAAGGGATACAGCTCTCTGAGTGGGGCTTTTGCAGGCATTGGGCCTGGCTCTCTTTGGCTGGGGGGGAGTGAGGGGGTCTGTACTGCCTGCTCATCAGGGCCGGTCCATATTTCATCGTACGAGCTCAGTGTGGTCAGCTGCACTGGAATAGGAGGCTCTCTGGGTCTGTCTCATGATGCCCCCGTGCTACGTGCTTCCAGGGTTTTCCGTATTTCACCTACTCAGGTGCACAGTGACCTTTCCTGCCACTTCTGCTTTTTAATGAGTCACATTCACCAACAGGCTCCACGGGTCATGATCATGGCCTCCTCCCAGCACCTAGCTCCGTGCTTGGGAGTAGCGGCTGCCCTCACTGGACGGCTGCTTCTCCTCCAAGCCTGCGCTCAGACCAGTGTGGGCACCGCAGCTCAGACAAGGGGCAGCTGATGCGCTGTCACATGCCTCGAAGGCCATGGAGCTGGGAGTCATAACTCTTCCGGCTCTGAAGCCCCCCTGCGTTACTAGAAGCAGGCCTCCTGGGAGCCTCCCCCAGAATGTCTGCCAGTTTCGTGATTTCCAGCCAAGATTAACCTCTCCACGGGCCCCAGAATTTACTGGAACAGGTACTTTATCGAAGACACTTCTGCACACAGCTGGCTTTAGAGTTTCAACCCGCAGTGGAAAGAGCGGCTGTGTGTACACGCTCCCCCCACACCCCCCATGTCCCCCACGCACCTGTCCACCTCTTCTTTCATGTAGGTGGTATAGCTGTTACCATTGTAGGACAGCAGCAGCCCACCATCATTCAGCCGGTGGACGTCGATCTCGATGTGACAGCCATTCATGATGAGGACGAACATGGTCAGAGACTGCCGGGCCACCTGTGGGGACAGGCTCCGTGTCCCTGCCTGGATTCAGGAGGCCTGCTTGTCCCTGGGTGCCTGAGCACCACCAGCAAGGGCTAGCACCCACAGTGGACATCTCTAACCTCTCCAGTCTCGACCCTCAATCGCCCTAAGGGAGCTGCTGCTGGCGTCGCAGGGAGCCTGCGTCAGAGTGCCACACCTGTCCCCCGGGTAGCCTGACGGCCACTGGCTCCTGGTGTTGGCCACGCCCCACCAGTCACTTGCCCTTCTGATTCCTGTCTCCAAGCATCAGTCCCCAATCAGGGCCACCCTGAGTAGCAAAGAGATGGGGCGGGGGTCTTGCTGGGGGTGAGGCAGCCCTGGGAGTCCACCAGTGACCAGACTCCATCCTCCTCAGACCCGGCTCTGCCCCGGGGGCACAGCAGACATTTGGGACAAGGCACAGGGGTCAGACCCCAGCCTCCGCTCTACACTTCAATCGGACATTCTAGCCCTTGGTCAATGTGGGTCCTCTCTCTCAGAAAACAAAACACCCTAAGGAGCCCTTGACCTGTAAACTATTCATGTGCAGACAAAAGGTATTAAGTATAGAGACATTTATGGCTACGCTACTCATGGCAACAGGAAAGACTGAGAAACTAGCCATCTAACAACCTTGCAATGGAATACTTGACCTGCACTGTCAAATATAGCAGCCCCTGATTAGGATGGCTGCTTACATGTAAATTAACTTAACTTTTTAAAAAATGTAAAATTTAGGGGCACTTGGGTGGCTCAGTGGGTTAAGCAACTGACTTCGGCTCAGGTCATGATCTTGCAGTTCATGAGTTCGAGCCCTGCATCGGGCTCTGTGCTGACGGCTCGGAGCCTGGAGCTGCTTCAGATTCTGTGTCTCTCTCTCTCTGCCCCTCCCCTGCTCATGCTCTGTCTCTCTCTGTTTCTCAATAATAAATAAGTGTTAAAAAAAATTTTTTTTAAAAACTTGTTGCTAACGTGGGTAAACTTTATGCCGTAATAATATCAAAGCAATAAAACAGCATCTGCACCATGACCTCAACTTTGCAAAATCCATGCATAAGGGGAAAAAAATATTTAGAGATTTGCCAGAACGTTAATAGGGACCACCTCCCAGAGTCAGTACCTGACCGGTTTACTCCTTTGACATTATGTACTTGTTTGACATGTTTAAAAGTCATGTGCCATATTTAAAAGTCATGTTGGGGGAAACCAGGGCCCCCAGAGGAGCCGAGAGGCATGGAGGGGTAAAGAGAAGTGGTTTTTTTTTTTTTTTTAATGTTTTTTTTTATTTATTTCTAGGAAAGAGAGAGAGACAGCGTAAGCAGGGGAGGGTCAGAGAGAGAGGGAGTCACAGACTGAAACAGGCTCCAGGCTCCGAGCTGGCAGTCAGCACAGAGCCCGACGCAGGGCTCGAACCCACGAACCGCGAGATCATGACCTAAGCGAAAGTCGGACGCTTAACCGACTAAGCCACCCAGGCGCCCCGAGAAGTGGTTTTATAAAGCACGCCCCCACGGATAACATGCTTGCTCGGCTGAATGGAACTGGGAAATCCCCAAAGTTGGAAGTGTAATGTCCCAATGATCTTAAAAATAAAATAACAGAAAATAAAAATTCTGCCTCTAAAGTAGACTCAAGTTCTGGTATCTATTCCCTCCATAAAGGAGTCCTTAGCTCCTTGGGGACACTCTGGCCCTGCTGGTCAGACTCAGACCCGGGCCCTGACCCTGTGACCACACATCTCAAACTCTGATATCCTCTGCTGAACTGACCTCAGTTCCCCCCGGAGGGGTAACAGGACACTTCTGAAGGGACAGCAGCCCCGGGGGACCTCCAGGAAAGCCCAAGGTGGGCCAGGGAGAGATCAACAAGCCACACCTTGACCTTCAGTGCAGAGGTACGGGACAGAGCTGGCCTCCCCAGCCCCGGGAAACGGGCCCACGTACTATGCCAGCTCAACCCAGGCCCCGCTCATGCTCTGGACTGGATATCAACCCCCCAATCCATGTCCTTCCTGCACCTCACGACGTGAGCCTTCTTGGGAAACAGCACCTTTGCAGGTGTCATTAGTTGGGAGACGTCACACCAGAGGAGGGTGGGCCCTAAATGCCATCTGACTGGTGTTTTTCTGAGAAGAGACCCAGCGCAGAGACACAGAAGAAGGAAGACGCACGCACGCACGCACACACGCACGCTCGCACGCACGGCAGCTCTGTGAAGCCAGGGGCATAGATTGGAGTGACGGGTTGTAGACCAGGGAACGCCCACCCACAACCATCAGAAGCTAGGAAAGCACGAAGCTGATTGTTGATTCTTTCCTGGAGGCTTCAAAGGGACCAGGCCCTGATGACACCCTGATTGTAGACTCTGGCCTCCAGACTGTGAGACAAAACACTGCTGTTGTCTGAAACCACCAGCTTACAGTACTTTGTTACTGTGGCCCCAGGACACTAACACATGCTCCGTTGTACCTCGTGCATACCGCTCAAGCCCATGCACTCTGAAACCCAAAGGGCTTAGGTTTCAAGGTCACAGGACTGCCCGGGGTGTCCTGGGACCCAAGTGTGAGTGGGTCCACTCAGGGCGTGGCTCCCTGCAGAAATAAAAACTCCCGCCCGCCTCCAGAGTGTTGGAGATATCCCAGGCATCCGGGGGCTTCACCTTGAGAGTGTACTTAACACCGTCATAAATTAATTCCACATCCACGATGTTCAGGAGAGAAGCGGCAGGAAGGACCTGGCCCCTGAAAGAAAAGACAGACTTGTGGTCGGCTGTGGGAATGAATGAGAACTCTGCAGCCGTCCTCTGGATTGGAGCCAGTCGCTCACCTCACGTGAGCATCAACCCACCTGGCTGTACCAAAAAAGCTAAACCTGATGAAAAGGCAAGGAAGCTGACGTTCCTCAGAACTTAAGGAAATGGCACTTGCTGAAGGATGAGAAATTTCCAAAGGGCTTCCCAGAAGCAAAATCCATAATGCTTGTTCTCGGAACAATTTGCTGTGTGGGAATCTGGCTGCCTGCTTATGAAAAGAAGCCGAGCGCACGCGCTATGGTTCTATTACTATTCAAACGCGTGATAACCAAGCACTAAAATCTGTTCTCTTTTTAAATGCTTTTTTTTTTTTTTTGTCGTTTCATTTGCCTATCACCACGTTTCTCCACGAGGGGTGACTTCTGCCTCTACTCTGGGACATTTTGCAATGTCTGGAGACGTATTTGATTGTCATGACTTCTGGCAGGGTGAGGGGGTGGGGGAACTGCGGACAGAGGGCCTGGGGGGCTGCTAACTTCCCACAGTGTACAGGGCAGCCCTTGCAATAAGAAATGAATCAGCAGTAAAAACTGAATCAGCTCAGGGACACCTGGGGGCTCAGTCAGTTGCGTGTCCGACTTCGGCTCAGGGCATCATTTCGCGATTCATGAGTTCGAGCCCCGGATCAGACTCTGCCAACAGCTCAGAGCCTGGAGCCTGCTTCAGAATCGGTGTCTCCCTCCCTCCCTGCCCCTCCCCTGCACGCACTCTGTCTCTCTCTCTCTCTCTCTCTTTCTCAAAAATAAACAAACATTAACTAAAAAAAGAATCAGCTCAAAACGTCATGGGTGCTGAGGCCGCAAAATCCTGGTCCCATTCTAACAGCAACCTGGCCACCTGCACACCGGCCCATTTCACTAGTCGCCATCTGATTCAGGCAACGGTCTGGAAAGAACAGTTGCAGAGGTGACCTATAACCTGCTTTGCTTCTCAAATCCAACTCCTCTCTGGACTCAAGTATTATGACAACCGGAGGCAAGTCAGGATGAACATGCACCCATCTGTCGCTGCCTTGCCAATCCTATCCCAGGGGCTCTCCTCCAGGGCAGAGGAATTTCAGAGGCAAGCACAGGGGACAGGATCCCTGACTGCCTGGTGGCCGATCGTCTGCCTTCCTTGCCACTAACGCATATCCCACGAGGGGAAAAGAATTACCCTCGTGCCCTACCTTTCCAGGGAGTGTAGGAAATCTGTCATACAGGTTCTGAACATCCCATCGGCCACGTTCAAGGCTCCACACACCACCCCAAGCATGATATCTGGCTTCTCGGCCTAGGAAAGACTCCATACTTCAGTATCGGTGGTGGCCACGCCCACGAGGAGCTGCGGGGGAGGGGGGCTCTGCGCCCCCAAAGTGAGAGGCGTGAAACTCCCCACCTGCACTTTCTCAGCGATGAGGTGATCCAACCACCCTGTGTCGATGTCATTGTTCTGGAAGCGCTCCGTCTCCAGCAGGTTAATGAGATATTCCACAGTGGTCCTGAAGTCACCCCGGATGGACAGTTCCTTCAAAGCCACCACCATGTTCCTTGAGGGAAAAAGGCACATGGATTGTTTTCCAAATTAATATACTGGCCAGCAGCGTGCCTGCGTGGTTCTCAGAGGGCCAGCACAGCACAGCTGAGAGAGAGGGGCCTGAGTCCAGCAGCCCAGGGGTCAATCTCGGCTCCAGCATTTACTGGTCGGGCAATCGTAGGCAAGTGACTTTACTGCTCTGGGTCTCAGTTTCCTCATCTGAAAAATGGGTCTGACTTCACACAGGTGCTTGAGGATTAAAATGAGACAATCTATATAAAGCACATAGTCACTGGTAAATAAGGTCAACTGCCATGATCAGGATTAATTACCGTGATTGTAATTATTATTAATCACTCCCGGTAGCTCTGCCCCTCTTCAGCTGGACCTCTTCAAATCCCCATGACCCAGGGCAGCTGCTTTGCTAGGTTTGCATGGGACGGACCTATGGATGGTCGACACTGTGCCCCCACTGAGGGCGTGGCAGTCACCTGCCCTCCTGTGCTTGGCCGGTCACCACCCCCCAGTTCCCAGAGGGGTGGCCTCCCCCAAACAGGGCTTCATTCCCAAGGGTTGAAGTCCCCGCTCCCTATGAAATCACAGTAGGGTGTTTGGCACCAGAGAAAGAGGAGGCATTAGAACAAGTCTCTTCATTTGGGGCGCCTGGGTGGCTCAGTCGGTTAAGTGTCCGACTTCAGCTCAGGGCGCAATCTCATGGTTTGTGGGTTTGAGCCCCGCATCGGGCTCTGTGCTGACAGCTCAGACCCTGAAGCCTGCTTCAGATTCTGTGTCTCCCTCTGTCTCCCTCTCTCTCTGCCCCTCCCCTAGCTTATGCTCTGTCTCTGTCTCAAAAATAAATGAACTATTAAAAAAAAAATTTAGAACAATTCTCTTCCTGCCAGGGAGCTTTGATACCTGCCGTTGGTGTCCCCGTGTGCATTCAGCAGGTGGGGCAAAGGGGCAAATGACAACCCCAGTTCGCGGGGAGAGAAAATGATGCACTAAAATCCAATGAGGGCGACAACAGTTTCCAGAGAGTCAGCTGTGGCCCCGGAATCTGCAGGTACGAGTCGAGCTACTGGGCTCAAGGGTGACCAACTTGTCCCAAGTTGCTCAGGACACACCCAGTTTTAGCAGCAAGAAATCCCAAACCCTAGGACACCCTCAGTCCTGGAGAAACTCCCCTCGATCCCCTACTGCGCTCTGACAGCAGTAAGAAAAGCCAGGATTTTCCCCTCTGAATTCTGTTCAAGTGGATCCCAGTCATTCAGGGCACAGGACAAACAAGCCCCAGGCTGTTTCCATCACAGTGGGCTGGGATGGCTGGCCTTCCTTCTCCCCCTTCAATTCTATGCCCAACATGGAGCTTGAACTTAACACCATCAAGATCAAGAGTCGCACACCATGCCCTGACTTTAATGCTTTTGAGACAGAGAATGACTGCAACGTCTTTGGGATTTTTCACTCTAAAGGACAGTGATTCATCCGCTCGAGAATGTTTAATTACAAAGTGAGCTGGTTTTTACCTTTCTGCACTCGGGGCAAGGCAGGAGAAATATAAGATGTGGGCGTTTTAGGACTCAGGAGCCCCTTTGTCAAGGTGGGCTTCTCCAGGACCTACTTACTTAAAAGGTTTGTAAAAGTCCCACACACATTTTTTTTTAAAGCTATAGTACTTGGCATACTCCTCCAAGTATGATCTCAAGACCAAAATGACCTTGGGGAGCTCACGGGCCTTTACGGATCTCGGATACAGAAGAGGGCAGACTTTGCTCTTGGACTTCAGCAAAGGGTATCTGAGATAGGGTCTGCTCTGCGATTTGCCCCCTTTATCTTCTGGTACTGCTATATCTGAAGCCACAGGCTTTTAGTTTCTTGAAGGAAGGAGGGAAAGGAGGAGGGAAGGAGGGAGATACTGACGAAATGGCTTCTTCCCGGTTCTCTCCCCAGGAGAAGCAGTGCCCGAACTGGGAATCCGCAAATTCGTGTAAGCCGCCAGTAGCAGCCACGCTGAAATAACCCCACACATTCTTGCTGCTGCGGAAATTCAGTTCCTGAACCGTTCCGGAGCTTGGCTTAAACCCCTAGAGCCCGGGCAAAAAAAGCAAAATGGAGAAAAAAAAGTCATACTCCAGACATATTTGCATCAGAATTAAATCTTAGGAAAACCCAAGAACCAACCACATCTGAAAGGTTACTGTCATCAATAGAATATTGGAGTCTCCCACTGGGGGTGTGGGTATACCTACGTGTGGGCGTACCTATGTCAGCACGTCAGGGCATGCGTGTAATCTTTACTTTAAAAAAAAACTATAAAAATAAATACCAGTTGCGAAGAGGGGGGAGGTGTAGATATGATATGGGTAACATTGCTCATGATGGAGTAGAATGAAAATACGTTCCGATTTTATCAGCTGGACGTTGTCAGTAATAAAAGGTTTAAACAAAAGAGAAGAGGGATTGGATTTCAAACTCTGGATTAAGAAAACTCCAGCAAATAAAGAAATCTAACACTAACACCCACCTAATTCCCTTATGGGGAGCGGGGGTGGCCCATCCCATCCCCCTGAATATAATTTTGGCAAGGAGGGGGTGGACATGGACTCTTTCGCTGCGGTCAGAGCTCCTGATGTGCATAATGGAGGCATCCATTTGGTCACAGGTGCCTGGAGGTGAGAGCTGGAGAATGTCAGGTGTCCGGGCTATTTCCACACCAGGTTCTCTGCCCTCCCAGGCATCATCCGCCTGAAAACCTCCCATCGGCTTATCCCCACCACCAGAGTTGGGTGTTTGCAGCCCAAAGTGCCAAATGAATAGAGCTCCCACACCTTACAATCCTTCCATTAACGGGGCGGCGGGGAGACACACCTCTTACCCCAAATTTCTTGAATGGAATCATGAAACGATTAGGCTGTGGTAAATTATGGAGATCACGTGACAATCAACTGTAGGCAAGCACGTCAAGAGGGAAAGATGCCAACTGGCTGGTTTGCAAGGCACACGGAAGAACGAGTCCCAAAGGACCTCCTCACAGGGGACCAAATTCCACTGAGGTTGTAGCAGAGAGTAGGTGGAGCCAGAATACCAGGGACCGGGTTCTAAACCTCACTGCTCGTCCCCAAAACGGACGCGGCCTCTCGAGTCCAACAACAGGGACCGGCCATGGCCTCAGCAGGTCCCAGGCACAAAACACTACCTCAGCCTCTTGAGCCGTAGTGCAGGGCAACAACGCCTAGCGGTGTAACTGTCATGTAAGTGACCAATGAGATGCATGGAGGGATCAGCCCGGTGCCTACGACACACCCCTGATCAAACCGGGTGCCTTGCCACACCTGTCTATACACTGAGAAGCCTGGGCGTCTCATCCAAGGCTCACGTCCAGGGTCTGCCCCACACTAGGAGACTGGAGATGGTGGACGCAGGGAGGCAGGGGTGGGCAGACCCCCAACTTGCCTCATCTGGGTTCTCGCTGGTGATTCTGGCCGCGATGACATGGCCTCGGGCGAGTGGAGGGTTAGAAGGAGTATCAAACGAAATGGGAGTGACCGCCCACGGCGACTCTCCGTACAGAAGCCGGATATCCTTCAGCCGGTGCAGTGGTACCCCCATGGCGATCTGAAAGGAGGAGATCCACCCAGCGTGAGCATCAGTGCCCTGGAGCCCTGGCCCCCAAATGCCGAGTGCACTGCTGGGTGCCACGGAGGAAGAGATGCAGCGAACGATCAGGTACACCGAGCCCATACTGAGCGTACAACTCTATGCCACACGGTGGCCGAGAAGCAAAGCAAGGAAAAGACGGAAGGCTTGACTCTGCCCCCAGGAACAAACTGTCACCGGGAAAAGCAGCCACTTTCGTACAACCACCTCACGCAACAAGAACATGCATGTGTCAAATACAAGTTCCAGACTCCCGGTGCATTGGAAGGGGAGGTAGAACGCTGTCCAGCTGCAGACTTAAAGGTTTTGTTACTTTTAAAGTTTTTATTTACTTTGAGAGAGAGAATGTGTGCGTGCAGGTAAAAGCCAGCGGGGCAGGGACAAAGAGAGGGGACAGAGGATCCAAAGCAGGCTCTGTGCTGACAACAGAGAGCTCGACTGGGAGCTGGAACTCACTATCCGTGAGATCATGACCTGAGCCGAAGTCAGATGCTTCACTGGCTGAGCCACCCAGGGGCCCCTAGTTAAAAGCTTTTTGTTTTTGTTTATTTGTATGTTTTAATTTTTTAAACATTTATTCATTTTTGAGAGACAGAGAGAGACAGAGTATGACCAGGGGAAGGACAGAAAGAGAGGGAGACACAGAATCCGAAGCAGGCTCCAGGCTCCAAGCTGTCAGCAGAGCCTGACACGGGGCTCGAACTCACAGACCGTGAGATCATGACCTGAGCTGAAGTTGGATGTTTAACCGACTGAGCCAACCAGATGCCCCAACCAAGTTCAAGGTTTTAAAGGACTCTGAGAAAGCTAGGCCTCTGAAGGGGGCCATGATGAAAAAAAAGGTTGAGAGGTGCCTAGGTGGCTTAGTCAGTTAAGCTTCTGATTTGGGCTCAGATCATGATCTCACAGTTCGTGACTTCAAGCCCCACATCGGTCTCCACGCTAACGGTGCAGAGCCTGCTTGGGATTCTCTTTCTCTCCCTCTCTCTCTCCTCTCTCTTCCCCTTTCATGCTCTCTCTCTTAAAAATAAATAAATAAACTTAAAAAAAAAAGTTGAGAAACGCTTCTCTGGGACTGTGGGGCTCCACAAATACCCTGCAACTGCTTAAAATAGTTTTTTCCAGGGAGAAGTTCAACAGGTTCTTGCCCGTTTCTCAAAGAGCTATCTAGCCTGACAGAGGGGACGAGCCACTTCTCAGATCTCAGCCTGTGCGGTTCTCAGTGCGACTCACACAACAAAGCAGTCACTCCCCAGGGACAGCCAGTCAAGAGAAAGTCAGGATGGGGACCCCAGCCCAGCGGGAAAAAGCCCACGGCCTTGCCTGCAGCTGGGCGGCCGGCAGGTTGACGTCGGCGATCATTTCTGTGCACGGGTGCTCCACCTGCAGGCGCGGGTTCAGCTCCAGGAAGTGGAAGCTGCCGTCCTGGCTGTACAGATACTCCACGGTCCCCGCACTCACATAGCCCACGGTCTTGGCCAGGCGGAGGGCACACTGCAAAGACACAGATACCGAAAGGTGTCCACGGGTTTTTTTGGATCGTCTCAGTGGTGGCTTCCAAGTTCCCCGCACCAAATGCCGAGGACCTGCTGCGTGTGAGCTCCTCTGGGACCTCATGGATCACAATCCCTATGATGGGCTCCCCCCATCCCGGGGTGTCTTCACGGACACCCACCCAGCTTTGGCAACATGAACCATAGGGCGCTTTTGCTGGCTGGGTGGAGACGGCTCTCCCTGTGGCTGTCCGCCCCACCCCCCACCCCCGGCTCTGCAGAGCTCACCTGCTCCATGAACTCAAACACAGCAGGTGTGGCGATGGTGGCTGGTGCCTCCTCGATGATCTTCTGGTGCCGCCGCTGGATGGAGCAGTCGCGCCCGAACAGAGATACGGCGTTCCCGTACTGGTCAGCGAGGATCTGGACCTCCAGGTGCCGGGCGTGCTGGGCCAGCTTCATGAGAAAGATGGGGGAGCCCGGGATCTCGCTCTGCACCTGGGGGAACAGCAGAGTGGCTCAGTCTTCCCTGGGGAACCAGGGGCTGGAGCATGAAGTTCTCTGAAGATATGGCCACAATCTTGCTGGTCTTTTAGTTGTGTTTGACGTCTCGCACAGACATGCCATTCTCCTTGATGTTTTCAGTCCGATGTCGTCAAAATCTATAATGTAACACATGCAACTTCCCTACAATCCCGTCTCCTGAGGATAACGTGCTAATAAGATTTGGGCGCGCGTTACAGTTTCCTGTGCTAGGGGTGACTGCGGTTACGAGTTAACTGGTTAAGTCAACGTGCTGGTGAGAGCTGGGTGCACACTGGTCTTCCGTGGCACATTCAGGAACACACATGACACACAGAATGTTCTTGGAATGAAAACAGGACCAAAACGTGCTACCCTGCAACTTTGTTTTCCTCCTTCTTAAAAGAGTATTCTCTCACTTCATTCTTTTGGTGGCTAAAAGCCAGTCATCCAGAAATTCTTAATGATGATATAAAAATAAGCGTTCACATGAAATGATGTCTAAGAAATTTATTTTATTTTATTTTCTATTCATTTTGAGAGCAAGATAGAGAGCAAGCAGGGAAGGGGTAGAGAGAGTGGGAGAGAGAATCCCAAGCCAAGGCTCTGCACTCCCAGCGCAAAGCTTGATGAGGGGCTTGATCTCACAAACCTGGGAGATCATGACCTGAGCTGAAACCAAGAGTCCGATGTTTACTGATTGACTGCCCAGGTGCCCCTAAGAAAATTTTTTAAAAAGCAAGCTTCAGTTATATATGGGATGAGCCCACTTACACGAAAAATAATAAAACAGAATTGTATGAATGTCTATATAAGAACAGACACAGGGGCACCTGGCTGGCTTGGTCAGTAGAGCAGACAACTCTTGGTCTCAGATTTATAAGTTCAAGCGCCACACTGGGTGTAGAGATTACTTTTAAAAATTAAAAATTCTTTTTAAAATGTTTTTTTTTTTAAATATATACAGTCAACGTGCTGGAAACAAACCCAGTTGCTAACTGGTTAGTTACATCTGAGAAGGGGGGATTGTTCAGAGGTGGTGGTAAAAAGAGAATTTTCCATTTTTATGTTTAATGCATCCCAAAAGTGTTCAGATGTTTGTGTAAGAACTGGTTCATGGTGCATTCAGGTAATCAAAAACACACACACACTTGGGGGAGGTTGTGCCTGGGTGGGGACCGGTATACGGGACTTCTGGACTTTCCGCTAAACATTGCTGTGAATTAAAACCCACTCTAAAAAGTAACATCTATTTTAAAAAGTCTTTTTTCTTGGGGCGCCTGGGTGGCTCAGTCGGTTAAGCATCTGACTTCAGCTCAAGTCATGATCTCACAGTTTCTGAGTTCAAGCCCCGCGTTTGGCTCTGTGCTGACAGCTCAGAGCCTGGAGCTGCTTCTGATTCTGTGCCTCCCCCCTCCCTCCGTCCCTCCCCCATTTGCACGCAGTCTGTCCCTCTCTCTCTCAAAATAAATAAACATTTAAAAAAAATTTTTTAATTTTAAATTTTTTAAAAATTTTTTAAAAAGAATGCTAAGATCATCAGTCTACCTTTTGTTTTTTTAAACATTGCCAATGGGCAGCTGCAATAGGCATCGTGTTAGAAAAGTGAAAATCCAGCTACAAATAAGTAGCTCCACAATTCATCCCTACAACAAAGGTCAGTTTAGAAACATTAAAAACACCAAGACAACTAAAACTTACAAAATGTCCCATCTTTCAATACACAGATATAGTCACAAGCAGATACTCTGGGCCTGTATCTCTGAAATCATTTAAAGTCATGTGGATTCAGAGAATCGAACATCTAAGTTCATAGTGTAGGGATCAACGCGAACCACGGACTTCTGTGCGTAAAAATGCACACATTTGCTTTGAAACACGGCACAGCAATATTCCAGCTCTGCAAACGTCCTCTGGTTTTCTGACACAGTAATGCAAATGAAAAGAATGTGGTGGCCAACAACAAAACACACACAAGTCCCAAAGGCACATAGAAAAATACTTGGCAAAAGCAGCTCACTTGTCTGAAAAGGATTGGGAAGTCCTCAGGACTCTCTGCTTTCTGGATTCCTTTCCCTCCTCTGCCTTCAGACGCTTTGATCATCAAGGGAAAACCAATTTTCTCTGCCACCTGGGGGCGAAGGACAAACAGGCCTCTTTAGAAGGTAGACTGTTTCCATGCTACCAGAATGATGGGAAGGTTCCAGCACTTTGACCCGCCCCCCCCCAGCCCCATGTTTACCTCTAAGCCCTCATCCACATCTTTCACACAACCCTGGTCGTAAATGTCTTCTGGGACACTGATTCTTTTCTCCTGCTGCAGATCGTCTTCTGCCCACTCTACCATCAGACCTAGAGTCACAAAAAAAGCTGAATCCTCCTGCGGACGGCGGAGAAAAATAACAGAAACCACAGGGCCTTTCTTTACCAAAGCCTCTCGAGACCCGGCCTCCGGACCAACAACAGAGAGACACGGTCCTTCAGCTTCTCACAGTGGTTTCTAGCTTTCTTAAGGACTGACTCAACCTCGAAAGGGAAATCAAGCTTAAGAAATTCAGACTGAGTTTACCAAGAACAATCCTATTAACCTGAACTGAAAAAAAAAAAATCCAATTCTGCCCATGGATGTTATTTATATGTGCATCACTGTTTTCTAAAACCTTGTGAAGATTAAAAACGAAATTTCCATCCCAAATGGAAAACTGTATCTTTGGAGGAAAAAACTCAGGTTGAATAGGAAACTTTAAGAGATTATTTTTTTCTAATTTATTTTTAATTTATCCTAGAAATTCCACTTTTAGGAATTTATCCTAAGGAAATGATCAAAAGGTACATAGAGATTAAGCTATATAAGACTAGCAAGACTCCATTATTTTTAGCTTTTTTAAAAATTGGAACAAAATAGGCTGAACAACCTAAATATATACCTGTAGAGGACTGTTGATTATGATACGTAGCTCTGTATGATAAAATCCAATGCAGGTATTTTGAATGTTGTAAAGTGTATTTATTAGCAAAAAAGTGTTAGTGAGAAAAAAATAAGTCACAGACTCATAAATATAAGATCTCTGGCTTTTTAAAAGATGGACCTAGAAAAAAGGCTGGAAAGGCAGGCTCCTTGAGTGTAACAAATGTTCAACACCAGGTCATAAGATTATGGATGACTTCTATTTCTTTCTTGCAATTCTATACTTTCTAAGTTGTCTACAATGAAACAGTACCATTGGTTTAATGATCTTAAAGTTTTTTAATGAAAGAATTAAAAAAAGCATATTCCTGTCACCCCTTCTTTTCAGATAGGGTGGAGGAGCTCCCCCAAAGTGAAGCTCAGGTCACTCACCACTTCCACTCCAAGGCAGTGTTGGAATCTGCAGCGTCTGGGCCACAATGGTGGAGGCGATCTTATCTCCCAAGGCCCACATGGCCTCACTGGGAGGGCCTGAGGGGTCAGGGACAAAGGGCAAGGCAGAAACGAGTGAGTCAATGGCCCCTTGTGGCTCAGTGCCAACCAAACGCACGAAGAAGAGTACTCAGGTCCTAGCTCTCAAGGAATTAACATCAAGTTGGGGAAGGGAAAAAGTCTATCAGTCTGCTACTTCATCAGATGGGGATAAAGTCTGCTGTTTTTAGTACATGTGGATTGTAAACCTGATCTCATGTACAACCTAAGGTATGTGGCATACACAAAATTCACTTTTCAGGAAGAAGGCAAAAAGCTAGACCAAAGGGGCAAACTAGCACCTTAAAAAAACTAGACCCTAGGTTAGCAAACTTCTCCTATAATGACCCAGATGGGAAATATTTTCAGCTTTGTGGGTCTGCCTGTCTCTGTCATGAATATTCAACTTTGCCAACGTTGGGCAAAAGCCGCCATTGGCAATAAATAAACGAACGAGGGGGCTGTGATTCAATAAATATTTATTTACAAAAGCAGGCAGTGATCTGGATTTGGCCTATGGGCTATAGTTTGCTGCCTTGTGGGCTGGATCCTCAACCTCCAAAGGAGCTCAGGCATAAGGAGGGTCCCACGTGATGGCAACCAAAGACAACAGATAGAGAAGACATAAGCAGACACGGGTCCCTAAGCAGACCCTTGGAATATCAGGTGCAGATTTGCCCTGTGTCGCTTCATACACAGGGTGTGTTGCAGGCAACAGGGATTTAGTGTGGATGGTGAATGATCCCCCTTAATCATGCAAAGATGTCCGACAGCATAACCGCATACACAAAGTTTATAAGTACAAATCCTGTAACAAGCAGATGCCATTGACATTAAGTATCATTTTGCCTAATAAGCTGTAGCCAGGAGGGACTCTGGACAGGGTATTACAAAGCCCTAAAAAGAGCAAGAAAGGTGTGGGCTTATCAGGAATGTGATCTACGAACCCAATCAGAAATCTGGACATGACTGGGACCCTGTACCAGCAGGAGCACAGAGGGCTCTCCTTGCTCCAGCATCATTCTACTCTGGTACCCACGGTACTGGCTCCTATGTCCCCGGGCTGGCCGACCTCCCCTCCAGCCGCTGCACCTACGTCCTCCTGACCACAAAAGGGTCAGGTGGGAATATCAAAGTGACCCCCACTTGCAGGGCTGCCCTGGAAAGAGAACCTGACCCCGCAGACTGTCCCGTGGATGCCCTGATTCCCGCGTTATCTGATGGAGATGCACTCTACCTAAGAAAGCAATCTCATGCTTGCACAGGAGCTCCGGGAGTTTGGGGTTTTCGGAAGCATGGCCCCAGCCAGCCCACACCGCCTGTAAACACAGAGAGGTGTGAACGAAGGTCTTCAAGAAGCCCCCTCCCGTCACACACGGAAAGCTCTTCACGGGCCACATCAGCCCTGGATCGCAGGGGCTCGGAGGATCTAGCTCCCCCATCCCTTCCGAACTGCAGGAGGGAGGAGCTGCTCTGGAGTTCAGAGCACCAACCCCCTGTGGACAGACCGGGCACCCCACCTGACTCACCTGCACGGGGATTCTCTTGGCGATGTCCACCACCAGCTCCACGTTGGCATAATTGTTGTTGTTGGGCCCTCCCGGGACGGGGACGTACTGATCCGCCATCTTGATGTACTCTGCAACCAAATGAGAGAAAAGGAAAGAAAAACTGAGAGGCTGAAGTTCACTGCAGAACTACATACCACCATGAAAGGATAACCAAGATTCTGTGGCAGCAAGGGACAAACGTGTACGGCCATTTGAAGAAAACCAAACATGACTTCCACTATGTGAAAATATATGTGCTTCAGGACAAGGTCTGGAAGGGAATAAAGAAAGAAGGAAGCAAGCTTCTTTGGGATGATTGGGATAAGAGGTAGGGTGTTCTATTAATTCCCTTTTTTTAATGTTTATTTATTTTGAGAGAGACAGAGAGAGAGAGAGAGAGAGAATCCCAAGAAGGCTTCATGCTGTCAGTGCAGAACCCAAAGTGGGCTCGAACTTACAAACCGTGAGATCATAACCTGAGCCGAAATCAAGAATTGGATGCTTAACCGCCTGGGCCACCCAGGCGTACCAACAACACAATGTTTTTTAATCATGGTAACAAACATAAAACATAAAATCTGTCATCTAACTCATTTTTTCCAGTGTACAGTTCCATAGGACTGAGAACATTCACATGGTTACGAAACAGATCTCCAGAACTTTTCTGTCTTGCAAATCTGAAACTCTACCCATGAAACACCTATTCCCCTTGTTCCCTCCCGCAGCCCCTCGCCACCACCACCTACTATTTTCTGTCTCTACAAATCTGACGACTCTAGGGACCTCATATATGAGGAATGCTATAGTATTTTTCTGTGACATGTCTTCCCGGTTCGCCTATGCTATACCATGTGATTGGATTTCCTTCCTTTTTCCGGCTGAATACAATGCAATGCAATGTTTTGATTTCAAAATCATCATGCCCTTTATGCCAGAAATTCCACTTCTAGGAATATGTCCTAAAAAACCCTACTCATCAAGGAAGTCAAAGAATGACGTAAGAGGATGTTCACCGGGCAGTGTTTTGAACTGGGAAAAGCCAGACTCCAGCCAAAGGCAAGGGTGAGTCCCCCCATACTGTGGAATTCTTGCGGATGCTGAGAAGGAACAGAGTGGGGCTTCATGTGCAGGCTCGGAAAGAAACCCAAGAGTGGCGGGTTCCTTCCAGCCTGCCTGCCTCCGATGTTCACGCAACACAGGAGTACTGGCCACGGAGGCGGCCACGGGAGAGGTCCCGCAGGTTACAAAGTGAGAAGGCAGGCAGACAAGCCCTCTCCCATCCCTGGGTTTTACTCTACTGTCTGAGAAGATAAGCAAGAAAACAGGCACAATAGCACCAAACGGGGTCAGCAACTCAAAGGCTGGGGCGGGGAGAGGGGGAGGCCTGCTCTGCGGGAAGGCTGGGGGGTGAGGTGGGAGGAGGGCAAGCGTCATCAGTGAAAGATCCAGCATGTTCCAAGGTTATGGGAGAGGAAGGGGCTCAGCCGGCCCAGGAATGGCTGAGGCCACTGTGGCTGGGACCCGGGGATGGAGCGTGAGGGGCACCAGATGCGGTCAGGAGGCCAGCAGAGCTGTGTCATGAGGCACCTTAACTGGCCTGATGAGGGCGCGGAATTTTAGTCTGAGTGTGATGGGAACCCCACAGAATGAGGCTGTGGATTCAGACAGACTGGGGTTCCAATTCCGTCCATGCCACATACTGGCTGTACAACCCTGGACGAACAACTTATGCCCGTGCCTCACTGCCTCGTCTGTCAGATGGCGCTGGCAATCAAATCTGTCCTCTGAGTTAGAAGGAGGCTGCCTCTTGAGGCATCTGGGTGGCTCAGTCGCTTAAGCATCTGACTCTTATCTCAACTCAGCTTATCTCAGCTCAACTCACGGAGTTTGAGCCCCGCATCGGGCTCCATGCTGACGGTGCGGGGTCTGCTTGGGATTCTCTTCCTCCCTCTTTCTCTGCTCCTCCCCCACACGCTCTTTCTCTCTCTCTCTCAAAATAAACATGAAAGAAAAGAGAGAAGAAAGCTGCATCAGGGAAGAGCAGAGCCCAGGGCCTCTGTTCAGGGACCGTTCAGGGGGGAGGGCAGGGGACAGCACCACAGCCTCAGAAGCTTTGAGGAGGAGCTGACAGGCCCTGAGGCTGGGTTTCTAAAAGATCATTTTGGCAGGGTGCCTGGGTGGCTCAGTCTGTTAAGCATCCGACTTCGGCTCAGGTCATGATCTCATAGTTTGTGGGTTCAAGCCCCGCGTCGGGCTCTGTGCTGACAGCCAGCTCAGAGCCTGGAGCCTGTTTCAGATTCTGTGTCTCCCTTTCTCTCTGACCCTCCCCTGTTCACGCTGTCTCTCTCTCAGAATAAAACATTTAAAAAAATTTTTTTAATTAAAAAAAAAAAACCAATCACTTTGGCTACTGTGTGGAAAAAGTCTATAAAGGGATGTGACTGTCCGGGAAAAAAAGCAAAATTGTCCAACAATTATTCACAGAATGAGCCATGCTAACAGACATAGAGAAACAAATGAACAGAAACATGAATGGTTGAAATAATATACATTATTATTTCAAGAAAGAACTCCCGGAGGAAGAAAGACCACGCTGCTGGAACACTGGACATTTCTCAAAGACAGGATTTCCACTTTGTGTATTAACCATTTGCATTTTTTTCCAGTTTATTTATTTGAGAGAGAAAGAACACGAGAGTGGCAGAGAGAGGAGGAGAGAATCCCAAGCAGGCTCCACACAGTCGCACAGAGCCCAGTGCGGGGCTCAGTCTCACAGACCATGAGATCATGACCTGAGCCAAAATCAAGAGTCAGACGCTTAACCAACTGAGCCACCCAGGTGCCCCTGCATTTTTAATTAAATAAAGAAGAAAGGGCAAATAAATGTGGGCTCAGGAGAGGCACCCTGGGACTCTGGGAAGGACTTGCCTAGACAAAATGGAGGAGGAGAGGGTAGGCAGGGACACGGAGTGGCAGGAAGGGAAGAAGTCAAGGCTCAAGTACCTGCATTGGCCTTCAGGTCCTCTGGGGTCACCATGACGACAAACCAGATGGCGCGCTCATTGCGGAACATGTCATAGGCCCACCTGCGGATGGAGCGCATGCACTTCACGGCGGCGATGCCATTGTTGGCGATGAGCACCTGGACAGGGAAAATGAGGAGGGGCCGGAGCTGCACACCTACCTGTGCTGGGAGCTGCATGCTCCCCTGGGGTCCATCTCACAGCTGCAGAGCCTCCTGAGGTAACTCTTTGGATCTCTACAGCACACAGCCTGGCAGAGAGGTGCTCAGAGTCTGCTGGCTGCATGAATAGATGATGGGGGGATGGATGGATGAAGGGTCAGGTAGGGGACTGGATGGATGGATGGATGGATGGATGGACGGATGGACGGGTGGATGGATGGGTGGGTGGATGGATGGATGGATGGATGGACGGGTGGATGGATGGATGGATGGATGGATGGACAGATGAATGGATGGGTAGTGGATGGCTAGATGGATGGGCGGCTGGGTAGGTGAATGGATGGATGGGTAGGTGGATGGATGGATGGATGGATGGATGGATAGACAGAGGGACAGGAGTGGCAGGATGGACAGAATGGGATGAATGAATGATTTTTTTATTCTTCTACTGGCACCATGATGATCACCTAACATTTCTGAATGCTTATATATACCAAGCTACAATATATTCCACCAGCATTATTTCATTTCATCCTCACAACAGCCCCTGAAAGTAGCTGTATTCTTATCTCTATTTGGGGTTAAAGATACTAAAACTGAGAGTGTTAGGACAGTTGCTCAAGGCCATTCAGCTAGTTCATGGCAGGGATGGGACTCGTGAGCCCTGCCCAGTCTGCCCTGTGCTCTGAACTGGCCCCCATGGCTGCCTCTGCACTTTGGAGGTTATAGGCCCCAGACTTGGTAAGGAGGAAAGCCAGTAAGCCTAGCCATCCTCAGCAACTGAGAGCAACAAAAAGGTTCTGGTTTCAATTCTTAATGTACCAGAACTTCCTGTGTGCCATCAGGCAGACCCCCACATAAGGGGCTCAGACTGGCCACCCTCCTGGCTGGTCGCTAAGAAATAAAATTAAGGTCTAGTTTTCCTGTTAAAAAGAAAAAGGCATATGGCTTCGAACCTCTGACTTACAGAGCGAGAACATAATTTTAAGGTCCTGAAGGACAAGTGTCTTTAGAGATTGGGGATGCAATTGCCACTATTTTACAGAAGGGGAAACTGAGCCCAGGGGTTATATCCTGTGAGTGGCCACAGCAGATGAAGCCCAGAGCTCTGGTTTGCTGCTCCCTCCTTTTTTTTCTTTTTAATTTTTTTCTTAACAGTTATTCATTTTTGAGAGAAAGACAGAGTGGGGGAGGGGCAGAGAGAAAGGGAGACCCAGAATCTGAAACAGGCTCCAGGCTCTGAGCTGGCAGTCAGCACAAAGCCTGATGCGGGGCTCGAACCCACAAGCGGTGAGATCATGACCTGAGCCAAAGTCGGACACTTAACCGACTGAGCCACCCAGGCACCCCTGCTGCTCCCTCCTTTTAAAACAGCCTCCTGCAGAGCAATGACAGAATGGCAGGGCAAGGCATGGTCAAGGAGGAAGGCATGGTCTGGGCAACCCCAGGACGGCCAGTTTCCCTGGGCCCCATTTGTTCTAGCACAATCCGGTGGGGAGAAGGCCACTGTGAGCTGGCTGGCCATTCCAGTCTCAACAGGTGCAGCTTTCCCACAAGGAGTCTAGGGGAGAGGGCAAGTCACGGTCAAGTCCAAAGTCACAAAGTGCAGCAGCTCTCTGGGCTAAGGCGTTCAGGGGCCACGCAGTCTCTCGGCTCCCAAGGGCTGCGTGCCGGCCACCCCAAGTTGGGCCGGCTGCAACACAGTTCCCCTGGCAAGTGTGACAAACGTGCAGCTTCTGGATCCCCACCCAGGTGATTCTAACTCTGAGGGTCTAGGGTTGAGCAGAGGAGTCAGTATTTGCCGCCAGCAACCAAGTAGCAGTCAAGTTCAGGAACAAACAAGTCTCTAACGCTCAATATAGCACTTGGGACTCTGGAGACAGGACATGGGCTCTGGACTCTGACAACCAGGGTTCAAATCCCAGCCCTGCCACTGACCAGCTATAAGACCCAGGCAAGCCACCACCCTTCCCTGGGCCTCAGTTTCCTCTTCTGCAAAATAATATGGCCCAACGGGACTGGGAGGGGGGTGGATAAATGAGGTACGATGATGGAAAGCAGTTACCAGGATGCCTGGTCGAGTAGGCCCTCAAAAACCAGTAGCTACTGTTGTTATTATAATTACCCACCACCACCATCCTGGAGTCATAATGGAAAAGAACAAGGCCCTCTAGTCAAACTGACCTGGGTTCAAGTCCCAACCCCAGCCCTAACTGGCCACATGACTCTGTACAACCAATGTCAAATCTCTGCATCTTAGCTCCTCCACAGATACGACGGGAATACTCAATCTGTGGCCAGAGACTTAACCCGCTGGACCGGGAAATGATGGAAAAGCCTTTCTAAATGGCCAAAGGTAGCAGTTTCCCTTCATTATCGTTATTCAGTATTCGGGCTTCCTCTCCTGAAAGGAGCTCTATGCCTTGGAAGGGCAGGGCCGGGCTTTTATGCCTGCCCCCAATAACCTAGAAAGCAGCCCCTTGCATGAAAGCCCCTTGGTGTCTTTTCAGACCTCCATCTCCTCTTCTGTGAAATGGGGGTGATGCACCTGTTGCTTCCGGCTATTGAGAGGGTTAAAAGCGGATGAATTCCAGCAAGTGGCACCCAGCAACTGGCCTGGCCCTCTCTCTGCAGCGTAATGATGAGCCCAAAGCAGGCTCTCCCACCTCCAGCTGGCAGGAGGGGCCCTATCCCACCCCGACTACCAGGACCCCATGTGTACCTTCTCAATGACCCGATCTCCCCCAAAGCGCGTGACAAACTCAGCTGGGGAGGCCACAGTAAAGTCCCTGTGCAGGTCCACCTTCTTCAGTTCTCGGCCCTTCTTCACCAGGTGGAGTCCGGACATGCTGGGTCTGTGGAGGGAACGGGACAGGCCCCCATAAGCCATGGAGCCTGGGCTGCTGGGGAAGGGAGTCGGGTGCCCAGCACCCACGAAGGCAACGTCAACAGCGAAGTGGGAGCCCATCAGCCCCCTCTGCTTTGAAGTCTCCACCAGGGACCTTGAAGCATTTCATGAGGAGACTCAAGAACCCAGTGCAGGAGCAGCCCCTGGCATGGCCCAAGCTGTACACTGAAGATCTTTAATCTTTAATTAAGTTTTACTTTATATGCTCCCAACTTAGAAACTCAAATACTACTGAAAAGCGTATGGGGAGGGGTTTATGAACAGGGAGCAAGCCCATGCAGTCTAATACTTTAGACTTGTCTTTCATGCCCTTTCCTGTACACATATATCAAACATTTTGGAGCTGAAAACAACAACAACAAAATGTATAACTGTCAAATGGTGGTTCTTTGCCCTTCGCTTCCAGAGCCACCAGAGGAAATCACTTTTCTGGCATTTCTACCTCTCCGTAGTTCTGAACAAGGTGTGAGTACCACCTTGGGTGACATCCTTTTTTTTTTTTTTTTTTAAGTTCATTTATTTATTTAGAGAGGGGAAGGGACAGAGAGAGAGGGAGAGAGAATCCTAAGCAGGGTCCACACTGTCAGGGCAGTGCCTGATGTGGGACTTGAACTCATGAACCATGAGATCATGACCTGAGCCAAACTCGAGTCAAACATTTAACCAACTGAGCCATCCAGGTGCCCCCTTACCAACATTTTTTATATTGATTGTACATTGAGATCCTATTTATTGTAGCACTATTGACAATAGCCAAAGTATGGAAAGAGCCCAAATGTCCATCGACAGATGAAAGGGTAAAGAAGAGGTGGTATATATATACAATGGAATATTACTCGGCAATCAAAAAGAATTTACAACAATGTGGACAGAGCTAGAGTGTATTATGCTAAGCAAAATAAGTCAGAGAAAGACAAGTATCCTATGATTTCACTCATATGTGGAATTTAAGATACAAAACAGATGAACATAGGGGAAGGGATGCAAAAATAATATGAACACAGAGAGGGAGACAAACTATAAGAGACTCTTATATGCAGAGACAAACTGAAGGTGCTGGAGGGGAGGTGGTGGGGGGATGGACTAAATGAGTGACGGGCAGTAAGGAGGGTACTTATTGGGATGAGCACGGGTATTATATGTAAGTGATGAATCACTAAATTCTAGTCCTGAAATTATCATTACGCTATATGTTAACTAACTTGGATTTCAATGTAAAAAATTAAAACTTATTATAAACTATAGTAAAAAAAAATAGAATAAAATAAAATATAGTAAACATTGATTATAAAAAAAGAAATTCTGAAAAATATTTTCTGAGCCTTTGAGATTTTAGATACAGAGTTTTAAAGGCTGGTATAGCACATACTGTGTATGCATATGATTTTATACTTACGTGATATATAAAACAAAAATCCTCAAAAAAAAAGAAATCCTATTTTAGATGATATTGAGAAATATATTTAGATATATTTCTTTTTACTTTTTTTTTTAGTGTTTATTTATTTTTGAGAGAGACACAGAGTACAAGTAGGGAAGAGGCCGAGAGAGAGGGAGATACAGAATATGAAGCAGGCTCCAGGCTCTGAGCTGGCTGTCAGCACAGAGCCCAATGCAGTGCTCGAACCCACGAACCGTGAGATCATGACCTGAGCCGAAGTCAGACACTTAACCGACTGAACCACCCAGGCGCCCCTGAGACATCTTTTGAGACACCATCTATGGCTCTCTGATCTCGAGGGACGAGGAATGAGTGGTCTTACTCAGTCACCCCATCTGCTTCCCATCCCTCAATCTCTCAACACAGGCATGCTACACTCTGACAAATTCAGTATGTGGTGCATCACGAGTCCAGGACTATTCACAGATGAGGGCTGGGGTAGACCAGATGTTCCTGCCTGCCTGCCTTCCTCTCTTTTTCTTTCTTTCTTTCTTTTTTTTTTTCTTTTCTTTCTTCTTCTTCCTTCCTTCCTTTCTCTTTTTCTTTCTTCTTTCTTCTTTCTTTCTTTCTTTCCTTCCTTCTTCTTTTTCTTTCTTTCTCTTTCTTTCTTCTTCCTTCTTTCTCTTTTTCTTTCTTTCTTTCTTTTTTTTTTTCTTTTCTTTCTTCTTCTTCCTTCCTTCCTTTCTCTTTTTCTTTCTTCTTTCTTCTTTCTTTCTTTCTTTCCTTCCTTCTTCTTTTTCTTTCTTTCTCTTTCTTTCTTCTTCCTTCTTTCTCTTTTTCTTTCTTTCTTTCCTTTCTTCTTTCCTTTCTTTCCTCTCTTTTTTTTTTTCATGGAGACGGCGGGGTTTTCAGTCGCACAGCTCTTGCACCTGTTGTTAATGCAGCTACTCACTGTAGCTAATTGAGCTGCTCCTTTATCTTTCATTGGCAACATCCCTCCTGGAGGCCTCTACTCTCCCCTCCCATCCCGCCCGCCTGTTCTCCAGACCCCCAACGCAGCTGTCATTCTGGGACCTCCTTTGCTGACATCCTTGGGATTCCTTTTGCCTTTCCTCGGGGTGTGATCTCTCATTTGACGGATCACATGGCTCCCTCTTTCTCCCGCCCTTATTTTGTTGGAATATAGCCTCCAGCAGTTCCAACTGGCTAAAAAGATGGCAGGACATGGGACGATGACATCCTCACGTGCCTGTCCTACTCCAGGCTGCACCAAGCTACCTCATCACTATCACCCTGGAGATTCCCTTTGATTCTATGCTGGATCTTAGTTTCTTGTCTCCCCCCAAGTGTCGCTCTTCTTTGGTTTATTCTCTTGTTTCAGGGGAAGACATCCTTCAGTAGCCTTCTAAGAAAAGGTGTTTAGGAGTCGGGGGTAGGGGTCGTAAATGTCTCATCATCTTGCATGTTCTGAAACTGTCTTCTGCCCTCACATTTGACCCTATCATTGGGCTGCGTACAGAACTCTATCAGGGAAAACCTTCTCCTTCAGAGTTTTAGAAGCCTTGCAACACTGTGTTGTGGCTTCTGAGGATGCTAGAACTAGAGCTGTTCTGATACTTTGACCCTTCATGGGTGATCTGTTTTTGTTTTTGTTTTCCACATCCAAAAGCTTATAGGACTTTGTATCTGTCTTCTGTAGCCTGCGGTTTCACAGGGATGTGCTCAGGTATATGTCTGCTTCCAACAGGGGGCTGTGCATCTATCAGGCTTCTTCAATGTACAAGCTCACATCCTGGAATTTGCCTGCAAATATTTCCTTCAAATGACTTCCCTCCCTCCTTTTCCTCTATTTTTTCCAGAAGCCTTATTATTTGGATGCCGAAAATCTTCGACTGGCTTGCACATTTCTGTATGTTTCCTCTCCTCTATTTCCTATCTCTTGGCTTCCACTTTCTGGCCAATTCCTTCAGCCTTTTCTCCTAACCCGCTGTCGTGTTTTTAATACCAAGAGCCCATTAACGGCGGGCAGTTTCCTATTCACACATTCGATGCCTGTGTGTGCAACATCCCGCCTCACTTCAGTGAGGGTAATAATGTAGCTCTTCCCTGTTCCCTTCTCCTGGCATGGTTTCAGTTTCTTCCAAGTCTCCCGTGTCTGTTTGTTTGTGGCCTGTCTTCCACATTAAAAACTGTCCCCAACGGTTTGGTAAGCCTCAGTCACTTCCTCGTGGCCAAGAGCAAGAACCAAAGGGCTGACAGAAGATAAAGAGGTGAGGCCAGCAGACCCTGAGCTCCACGCTCAGGATCTTGGGGAGGAGGGCTGCTGTGTACCAGGGAACCCCAAGTACACTTAGAGTCGTCTTCTTTCAATGGTCCAATTCTCAACTGGCTAGCAGCCAGGGGGGAGGGAAGTGGTGGGAAGGTCTGGGGTGGGGAGACAGGACAGGTTTCGGCACCTGTAACCTATACAGACCCTGATCGTTATGTTTGGATCCAGGCCCCACACCTTCCACTGTGCCCATCGGCCCCTAGTCCCAGGACCCTCTGCTTTTCCCTCCAGGGAACGAACCGCCTACTTTCTGTGGGCATGAGAGTGGACAAGCCCCCACCGGGCAAAGCAGACAAGATGATCTAGGCATCTTGTACCCAATTCTTATGTTGGTACCTCCCCCCTTTACGCCCAGGTGCGCAGGCACCTGAGGCTGCCAGTCCCCGTGCCTTTCAGGGTGCAGTTCCAGTAGGTTCTCAGTGGTCCTCACGACCACTTTATGACTCAGCCCTCTTGGTTCTGCTAAGCCAGTTACTGCCAGACCACCCACTTCAGGCCTCCAAAATAGGACTGCTAATCTCCTTTCCTGTTCTGCCAGGCTTGACGGGTTCCCAGCTCTCTTAAAAAAAAAAAAAAATTACGGGCGCCTGGGTGGCTCAGCCAGTTAAGCACCTGACTCTTGATTTCTGCTTAAGTCAGGATTTCATGGTTTATGGGATCGAGCCCTGCTTCGGGCTCTGCACCGGCCATACAGAGCCTGCTTGGAATTCTCTCTTGCCCTCTCCCTCTCTCTGCCTTTCCCCTGTTTGCTCTCTCTCTCTCAAAACAAACAAACAAATAAAATTGGGGGTGCCTGGGTGGCTCAGTTGGTTAAGCGTCCGACTTCAGCTCAGGTCATGATCTTACAGTTTGTGGGTTCGAGCCCCACATCTGGCTCTGTGCTGAATGCTTGCTCAGAGCCTAGAGCCTGCTTCAGATTCTGTGTTTCCCTCTCTCTCTGCTCCTCCCCTGCTTGCACTCTGTCTCTCAAAAATAAATAAATGTGGGGCGCCTGGGTGGCTTAGTCGGTTGAGCGTCCGACTTTCGCTTAGGTCATGATCTCGCGGTTCGTGGGTTCGAGCCCCGCGTCGGGCTCTGTGCTGACTGCCAGCTCAGAGCCTGGAGCCTGTTTCAGTCTGTGACTCCCTCTCTCTCTGACCCTCCCCTGCTCACGCTGTCTCTCTCTCTCTCTCTCCTAGAAATAAATAAAACATTAAAAAAAAAATTTAAAAAAATAAATAAATAAATAAATAAATAA